AAAGGTCTAGTAGAGTAGGGAGGAGGAATTGAGACTCGTATTGAAATATTTGAGACTCTGCATCTAAGCCCTCAGTGGTACAGCAGCTAGATTTGGTAGAGGGGCACTGATAGGTAGAAAAGATCTTGCAGGTAGACATATGCCATAGAGCAGGGGTAGGCAACCTCTGCACTTCAGCGGTCGTGGAAGCTTAAGTTCAATGAGACGTTGCAAGACTCTAACAACCACAGGCACGACTCCCAGTTTTACCACAGCTGGGGTGCTGAGGTTGCCTACCCCTCCCTTAGATGCCAGTATAATGTAGGTAGATCACTCCAGACTCGGCCTCTAGTGTCCCTGATCTCGGAGGGATTGGTGTTCCCTATACTGTACAGGTTGTTGCAGAAGCGAGGCCCTTCTTCGTACAGGTACACGTACAGGATGTCTGTGCACACAAGCAGTGAGAGATAATGCTCATTCCATTCTAATCCTTCCTGACTATAGCATGTTTTCATGGATCATACCGAGCACTTGGCAGGTTTCATGTCTCTTGGCACTCTTGGCTAAGTCTGAGTCACCGGCCCTGGACTAAACACAATCACTGACCAGGTGGAGAACCGACTTGTAAAAAGAAAATAAAGTTTAACTCTTTAGTAAAATGGCTGTCTTCCACTGCTAAAAGGGTGCCATTTAAAAAAAAAAACCGTGTACCTTAAAGTAGAGCCCTAGCCAAACAGCAACCGTACCTGTGCAGTGGAAATACATACAAGAGCTGTTTTACTTCCTAAAGACTTGGAATACTGATTTACCAGACTGGTGATTCCTGCACCCCTGCCACACTGCATACCCAGCCTGCTGACACTGCTGCACCCTATTGCAGGTATGCAATTTCCTGTGTTGGAAGGATAAGGAAAGCTGCATTTCTTGGCTATCTTTCGAATATGCCAGTTGACTGGCTGTTATCCCGACCCTCTGTTTCAGTGTACCCTGCGCAGATTTGGAAAGTCAGAAGTCCTTTACGGCGTACTAATGTGTCAGCCAACTGGCTAGCATTTAAAAAAGAGGTCAGCAATGACATCCTCCATTGTTGTTCTCATTACAGGTTTTCTTGAGGCTTGCACACTGGTAGTCTGAGTTACAATGGGCCTCCACTGATTAATTTTTCTAGGTGCCTGTAGAGTGGGGAAAGGCCAGCGAGACTCTCAAGTTGCCTATTGAGGGCAATGTGTGTGTCTTTTTTTTTAAACCCACCCTGTGACCCACTTCTACTAACTTTCTCTGCTGCTTTGTTCCTACTCTTGTGAAAACTCCATTTTGAAACTTAAAAAGGGTATAATAATGCTGCTCTTCCTCATGTGACATTGTTTGGATCTGGCTTCTAGGGATAGTTCACACCATATGCAGTTGTGATGCAGTCCGTTCAGTTTGGCTGCTGCAGCCAAAACACATCACAATGCTTTCCTATGGGCTTTCTTGTATTCACACCATTGCAGTCCGTTCAGATGCAGTCAGAAAAAGTACTGCTCGTCCTATTTTAGCTGCATCTTATCGCACCGGAACCAATCAAAAACACATGCAGGCGAATCAAAACGCACCGGAACGCTATGAAACGCATCCAAAACCCCCCCACAGAATTGATTGTCATCATCCAGGGACTTCCTCTTTGTAGGTAGAAGAGATATTGGAGACATGGCTGATGTGGATGCTGACATTTTCATCAAATATGTGGAGGACTGTCCACTGCTGTATGATCCCAGGCATCCTAACTATAAAAACAATCGCCAGAAGATGGCAAAGTGTAGGGAGATAACAGCCAAGTTATACCCTGATTTTGGTGGTCTGAACAGAGTGCAAAAACAAAAATGTGGTGAGTTCTCTTTCTCAGTAACTTTGAAGTTTTAGCATTTTAGCAAAAAACAAAAACAAAAACGCATCAAAACGGATCGCAATGCAACTGTGCAGGCACATGCAGTTGTGATGCAGTTTCTGGTGTGCACTAACCCCTAGTCCCTAGCACTGGGTTATAGGGGGTCACATGTCCCCCCCATACCTGGACATACTGGGGCTATAACAGTGGATCAGTGGGAAAGGAGAGTATGAGTGGGTCAGGATGTAGAATTTGAAGAGATACTGTTACAGAATGGGCCAAGTGATCAAATCTCTTCCAAATCCACCATCTTCCCACTTCTTCCTTGCTGCTATCTTCTATGCAGACCTATGCTTGTGAAAGCTCCATTTTGGAGCTTACAAAGGGTTGGGTTGATAATGCCGCTCCTCCCTCATGTGACTTTGTTCGAACCTGATGATTGGCTGCTAGGCCCTAGTACTGCATTTTAGATGGTCACATGCTCCCCCATACCTGGAAGTACTGGGGATTGTACAGCAGATCATTGGGTCAGCATGTGAGCTTTAAAGAGACAATTTTACTAAATGAGCAAAGTGACAGGGTCTCTTAAAACCTTCTGCCAGGTTTTTTATTATTGCCATCTGTGACTACGCGGGGGAGATTTATTCTCATTTTGTGTTCTGTGGTGACCATTGCCCTCAGGAAGTGAAGGAAAATGTTGGGGAAAAATGCATCCTTCTAGTTTCCAGTTGTCATGTTCCATCGCAGGGTTAAAGCTTGCCTAGAAGACAGCAAAACCACTCTTTCAACACTTAAAAAAAATTCATTTTTTTTTTTTAAATACAAGAAAGTCAAAACATGGATCTCGGTTATTCAGTTAGAACTCTCTTCTTGGTCAGCAGTTTTATGTCTGAATTGCCGGGATTATGGTGAAATTCAGCCGTGGGACTCTTATACCATGTGATCTGACATCTGGAACTTGGAACGAAGCACCGAGTCTTTATTTTCTTCCTTGTGTGTGTTAATCTCTTCTGATTCTGAACAGAGTTCTTTCCCCATCAGTGCTTCCTTTAAAAGGACTTCATTCATAAGTTCTCCTGCAGAAATCACAGGTTTACTTAAAGCGATAGGGCATGTAAAACAGATACGTCAGATACTACTTGCTGTTAGATTTAGAGCAGTGGTTCTCAACCTGTATAACCTCAGGACCCATATTTGTCCTTGGTCACCAAGTCGCACTGCAATGGAACACACAGCATTACGGTACTGCACGTTCCGGTGCAGGTGATCGAACTGTGGGTGGGAGGTGCGTTTGGGGTGCCATTCAAAAGATCCACCCAGTCTCCCTACCTTACGATAACTGGAGTGGATCCTCAGCCTGAGGTCCAGTGTGGACTGCTGTGCTGGCGCTCCATCCATATGTGCATTGCTTGTACAGCTCCCTTTGCGTGCCCTGTAGAGGTGCCAGGGGCCAGAATGTGACATCACTCTGGTCCAGGCGCTTCTACAGGACACGTGAGGGAGCTATACGTATGGATGGAACTCCCTCATGGCCACAGCCCCAGCCCGTCCCACCTCAAGCTGACACTCGGCACCAGGCAGCATATTTTGAATGGCTGCTTGGCGAGAGAACTGACAGTGCTGTGCTGGGGGGAGGCTGAGGAGCCTCTCACCTAGAAAAGTGGAAGGCATGTGGAGGCTCCCAGCTAGCAAGGCTAAGGAGATGTGTGTTATCTCAGTCAATAAACAGCATTGACTTTAATATCATGGAGTGCGAGTGACTACTTTAATCTATCCACTGAGCATGGAGTCGCGACCCACTTTTGGGTCACGACCCACCAGTTGTGAACCAAGGATTTAGAGTATGTCCTTATCCATCAACATTACTATGATTTGGAGCCCTCATTCTGCTAAGATTCTCAAATTCTTTGGCTTCATTAGCTGAATCACTCAGGGCCGGTGCGCACTCGCGCGGCAATCACGCACAGTTCCGTGCGGATTGCCGAGCGGTCACGGAGTCGCCCAGCACAGAGGGTCGCGCTGTGGGTGCCATTATTTTCCAATCGTTTTTCCACAGTTTCCCGCCGCGATTCCTTTTTTTTCTGCGATTTCCGCGCAGATGTCACCCCATTGAAATCAATGGGGCCGTGCGGCAATCGCTGTCTGCATTGTGCAGGACCGCGCAATGTTGGATCGCTTAGGTCTGCACCAGGCCTGGGCAGTCCTTCTAAAATTGTTAGCTGCTTGGCCCTCATGTCAACACTTAAGCTTCAATATTTTAAAGAATTGATCTCTTCTTCTGAAATTGCTAGCAGCCTGTCTGTCATGTCCTCCCTTTGTTTTGAAGCATTGATCTGGAAGTATGTGTAGATAATGACTTCTTACTTTCCCCATCTGCATACTTGATCTAGGTCAGTGACTCTTAAGTATTAAAGATAATGGATTGGCATTATAGACAAAGCATTTTAGAGAGAGAGGACCAAATGGCCGTACTCCAAAAGTTTGTGGACATCTGACCATCACACCTATTATATGGCCAAAATAAGGTGTGATTAAGTTTAAAACAGAAATATGTGGTAAGTGTTTTTCCCCATAGTTCTCTTAAGTTCTCTTAAGGGTCACTGGAGGACATATACTAGCGTCCTCCTGTGACCCAAAGCTCAGTATATAGCGAGCTACACTGAGACCGCCGCAGCCGGGACGGTCCCCGACAATGCTGTCAAGATCCACCCAGCTGTGTGAGTGACAGCTGGCTCTGCTTAGCTACACGCAGAGCCAGCTGTACCCGCCCCCTCCCTCGTCCGTTCCTCCAGTCAGCGCTGGAGGATTGGGGAAGGGGGAATCCCTGCGGGGAGAGGTGACTGACAGTCATCGCTCTCTGCAGGGAGATGATCGAGAAGTGAACGAGCAACGTATGCGTTCGGCCACTTCCCGATCTATTGAGACAAGGTGTGACAGTTTCGTTGTCACACATCTGCTCGAACTATGAGGATGAGTGATTTTCACTCGCCTCATAGTTCTCCTTTACGCGTTTCCAGTGGAGGGTATGGTTAATACTACAGCATGCAAAGACATTTAGACAATTGTGCTGAAAAGTTGCCTATTTTTTTCTGTGGGATTTCTATATGTCAATAGAAGCTTTAAAAAAAGTAACTGTTGTCCTTTTATTTCTTAGATTGAAAGAAGACTTGACAATGTGCGCTTGGTTTGTCACAATGCCCACAAGAAGCTCCTTGGCTGTTTCCAGGGACAGCCCGGCACTGATCCCGATAAGAGATATGTAAGTTTTTTCTCTGCTCTAATGAGCTCATAGAGAACCTAGATGTGTAACCTAGATGTGTACTGTAGAAATCAATGAAATTATACAACATGCCTTCACTGCAGTGTGAGTACTGGGATGATGTAATGGCTCCACAAGTTGGGGCTCGTGTAGACCAACCTCACTTTCCAGTGTTTCACTTGAATTTGAAGCAATTGGGTATTTTCCATTAAACAAGGCGGATGTGAAGTGGGATTCAGGTACTTAGATTAGTTCAGGGCAGCACATTGCCTTAAGCTGGCTATAGATTTACTTCCATCAGCCTATAGTCAGATGGAAAAAGTGCAACAGATTCCTCCATCTACGCTGAACTGTGTGGATGGAGGAATCTCCCACTGGCCCAAGCTTCAGTATCTTACTAGTCGGCATCCAATCAGATTGTTCAGATATTTTGATATTTTAAAATCTGCAGAAAATGTATAGGTGTATGGCCAGCTTAAGTGGTCAGTGCTTCTGCCTTGCAGCACTCGGTGTCCCTTTTTGCATGGAGTTTGCATGCTCTTCCTGTGGTTACGTGTATTCCCTCCTTACTCCAGTTTCCTCCCACACTCCGAAGACATGCAGGAAGGTTAATTGGCTCCTATCTAAATTGGCCGTGTATGATTGTGAGATAGGGACCTTAGATTGTAAGCTTCTCGAGGACAAAGACTAATGTGAATGTACAGTATGTAGAGGGCTGAGTAAATTGTCAGCACTGTTTAAATACCAATGACACAAAAAACACAAAAAAAAATGGCTCCATTAAAAAAACAAACAAACATTTTTTAATGATTTATTGACAGTCAATTTGTGACTTTTACTTCTGCCTGAAGTTCAGCCTTGATTGTTGCTTACCAGCTGAGAAAACAGGGGCCCCAGGTTTTTTCTTTTTAAAGGAGAACTATGAGGTGAGTGCTTTTCACTCACCTCATAGTTCTAGCCGACCTGTGACAATGAGACTGTCACAGGTCGGCTCAGTAGATCGGGAAGTGAGCGAACACATACCGGCGTTCGCTCACTTCTCCATCCTTTTCACGGCTCTCTGCCATGACCGGAGGGGCTGGATTCCCCTCTCCGATCCTCCAGCGCTGACTGGCGGAACGGACGGGGGAGGGGACAGGTACAGCTTGCTCTGCCTCTAGATAGGCAGAGCCAGCTGTCACTCACGCAGGGTGACGTTTTAGCTGCGGCGTCTCGGTATACCGCGAGTTGTAGCTCGCGGTATACTGAGCCTAGGGTGGCGGGAGGACGCTGGTTTGTGTCCTCCCGTTACCCTAAGGAGAACTTTGGGGAAAAGCCCTAACCCCATAGTTCTCCTTTTAAAGAAACAAGAACAATAATTTTGTAGCAGAATATCCTGCAACATGTCAAAATGATATACTAATCTACTTTCTAAGACTCTGAGGAGTCAGTATCCAGCTTTTCTACTGTGTATTAAACTCATGCAGCCAGTCATATCATTAGAACTACGTACGTTCCTGTCCAGTCTTTATCGGTTACAATTCCTGCATGAGTTTGTAGCCCATGGCAGCCAATCAGGTGTCAACTTTTACTCTGACTACAAAAGACTACGAAAAGCTGATTTCTCATTGCTCTCTAGGGGTTACTATAAATGTGTCCTTTTGCATGCAGAGGTATGGAGCTCTTTGTGTTTGGGATTGACCTTGTATTTCTATTGCAGAAAAAGCTTCCTCTTATGGGTGTCTCTCAGTCCATGTTGGAAGGATGCGCCCAGCTTAGCGATGAAACCCTTTTAGGGTAAGTGAATGCAGAGTTCAGTTCTGTCCTCAGCAGACTTTGGTGTAAAAAGGTTTATAAATTGTATTATTGTGCAGTTATGGCTTGGACAGACAGTAGAACTGCATAATAACTGATATTTCTCTTTTTGGTTCGACTTTACTAGGCCTGAATCCAGAGTGATTATATACAGCTCTTCAGGACCCTGATGGGTGATTTTACCTTGTTACCAGTACACCCGTGATGGACAAGGCAGTGGTTTTCAGCCAATTTGATATCCCCAGCTGAACCATAGGTTCCAATGTAGAGAGCTTAGGGGCAGAAAAATTATGTACAACAAGGGGAGGCAACCTTAGCACTCTAGCTGTTGTGGAACTACAAGTCCCATGAGGTATTGCAAGGCTCTGACAGTCAGAGACATGACGGGATTTGTAGCTTTAGCAGAGCTGGAGTGCTGAGGTTGCCTATCCCTGCTGTACCATCCCAGAGAGAGTAGTAGAGACGTGTAAGTGGGGTACAACTTTGCCTATCTTCTCCCAAATTGGTAATTACCATTTTGCGTGGACTTTAGGCTTTTAGGCTGACCTCAGTCTGTGTAATATGGATTTAGAATAACCAATCTGCTCTGGTTTACAGGAAGACATTGTTATCATGTGCAGAGGCTGAGCAGCGGCTGGCCCAGGAGCTCTCCTACCATGAGATCCAGATTGAGAAAGATGTACTGGAACCCCTAAACCAGCTGACTGAGGTACAACATTTATATATTTTCTGTGTAGTACTTTTTATCTGTCTCTGATGGCTTTTATTCTGAGATCTTAGAATGCCAGGTTTTACAGTTTAGTAACCATGTTCCCACAGGTAGAGATCCCCAACGTACAGAAGCAGAGAAGGCAGCTGGCCAGGCTGGTGTTAGACTGGGATTCTGCACGAGCAAGGTGAGTAAATGAGACTTAGTGGAAGATCTTCAATAAATAGAGTGAGGGGAATTTATCAAATCTGGGGCAGAGAAAATCTGGAGCAGATGTGCATGGCAACCAATCAGCTTCTATCTCTTGTTTTCAAATCTTAACTGAGCAAACTGAAGAGAGAAGCTGATTGGTTGGTTGCCATGGGCAACTGTTCCATAGTCTGTCTGCTCCAGTTTTGATAAATTCTCCTCATTGTATCCACCACTCTTCTACTTTCTGTGTGATTTCTACAGAATTCACTACTTTCCTATATGCATTGATCCCTACGCTCTGCATTGGCCCCTGCTCTCTGCTCTGCGCTCATTCCTATCCCCACTTTATCATTTTATTTTTATGTTTTTTCTTTTCATATTGCTATGCTGACACCAGTTAATCCTTTATCTTATGCTCTTGTATGATAGTGCATTGATCCCTGTCATTTCCTGTTGGTGTACTGACTCCTACATACTTTTTACATTGCAGCTCTGATCCCTAAACTCTTGCAGTGCACTTACCCTACTGCAGTAAACTAAACTGTTCTTTTGCTACCATTCTCTACTTCCCCTTTACTACGCTGATCTTTATTTAAACCCCCTTGCACTACAGTGATCCTCTCCCACTGCCCTAATCACTACTCCCCCCTCACTGTTTATATTTTATTGCACTTGATCCTGATACTGCATAATCTCTCTATTCATCTATTGTGAAAAGTGAATGCAATGTACCATATTCTACACACTGCTCCAAATGAAATATTCTGCTACATACTGTGTCCCTAGGTATAACCAGACCCAGAAATCTTCCACCACCAACTTCCAGATGCAGCCTGGTAAAATGGACTCTCTAAAAGAAGAGATGGACGAGGCAGCCAACAAAGTGGAACAATGCAAGGTGTGCGTACGGCAGAGACTGCCGGCATGGGGTGTATACATTGGTAACATTTATATCTTGATAATGGTAGTGTTGGGTGCACAGAGTTTTTATTTCATTACATCTAGACTTGCAAATTATATATGTGAATATTTTTAGAAAAAATTATCTTGTGGGAGAATAAACAGGAACTGCCGAGAGATTAAAATTGAACTACTGCAGAAACTCATAGCCTCTTTTGTTCCTTACAGGATCAGCTAGCAGCCGACATGTACAATTTTGTATCCAAAGAGGGAGAGTATGGTCAGTTATTTGTCTCGGTAAGTCAGAGATTTTTATCATGGAAAAGTTAAATATTGTACGTCCACATTCTCACCGATGATGAAGACACCGAGTGACAAAATTCTTTAAAGCTGATATGCAAATGAAAAAAGTTTGCTTAAAACGTATCTAAACCCCAAAGGAAAAATCTAATATATTGCCACTTACCAGTTCTTAGATGCGGTGGCTGCATTCGTTTTCTTTTAGGCTTTTTTACCTTTAATTTTCACCAGGTAATCCAGGCAGTACATCTCTTATTTTTCAACTTCCTTTAACAGCAAAAAGAGGCAGATAGAAGGTTGAGACAAACCGCTTAACACTGACAGTGGTACTTACATTGGTCAGCTTTTATTCCTTTATGTAAAACCTTTATCCCAAAAGAAATAAAACTGTTACTGTAAGTGCTTATAAAGTGTTAAGTGGAGTTCAGATTTGATTTGTTAGCCATGTTCATCTATATTTGTGTTATCAGAAGGATCACCTGAAAACTAATTTGGCCACCACATCTAAGGACTGATAAGCTGCAGTATATTATATTTTTGCTTTTGGGTTTAGATGCAATTTAAAGTGACACAAAACACACACAGGGCTGAGGACTTTCTCAGCAGGGATCCAGGCAGTATGTCAAATGCTAAAGAGTCTTCGGCCAATGTATCTCTTAGGCCTCATTTACATGGGAATCGTCCGTGCACGGGCTGCGTGCACCGCCGTATCGGGCAGCTCCCGGGAAGGACAGGTGCTGCGTGTGATTAGTATGCACCCCCTATCGTTTTCTCTTTGGGAGAACACGGCCATACGCCCCCTACGCTCACCTCAAGTGCAGGTTCATGCGGGTGTCCCGGTTTGGACGCAGGCAGGCTCCATCCTGTCAGCGTACGAGTACGCTCACAGTCACCCGTACGGACGTGCAGGGCGGGGTGAGCGTAGGGCGGCGTAAGGCTGCGTAGTCCCATAGAGAAGGACGGGCTGTGTACTAATCACACACACCACCTATCCTTCCCGGGAGCTGCCCCATACGGCCATGTACGCAGCACGGAGCTGTACGTGCCAGCCGATTCCCGTGTGAATGAGCCTTTAACGTGACACTAAACTCAGGAGTTAAATCTCAAATGCATTCAGGTACCTTAACTAACTATTAACAGAAATTTACCTTATTTGTGTATCACTTGGCTGTAGATCCTCCTCATCTCTGAATTGGTGCTGACACTGTCCTTCCTTCTGGAGGGTGGCTACTTTTGTTCCCCATGGTCCCGGTGTGTGTTGTAAAGTAGTCACCACTCCAAGCTCGCTCCCGTGATGGACTACAATCTCGCGTTTAGTTTACTCATTTGTTTTGAGATTGTAGTCTATCACGGGTTCAAGCTTGGAGCGGAGGATCTACAGCCGAGTGATACACAAATAAGATACATTTTCTGTTACTAGTTAAGGTACCTGAGTGCATTTCTTAGATTTAACTCCTGAGTTTAGTGTCACTTTAAGGCCATATTCACACGGGAATCGGCTGGCACATACAGCTCTGTGCTGCGTGCACTGCCGTATCGGGCAGCTCCCAGGAAGGACAGGTGCTGCGTATGACTAGTACGCAGCCCCTGCCTTCTCTATGGGACTACGCGGCCTTATGTATCTACAGCCAAGTGATGCACAAATTTAAATTTTTGTGAATAATTATGATACTTGAATGTATTTTTATGATTTAACTCCTGAGTTTAGTGTCACTTTAAGAGATAGGTTGGCCGAAAACTCTTTAGCATTTGTCATACTGCTGGGAGTCAGATGCCTGGAACCTTACTGAGAGAGTCCCCCTGTATGAGTTCCAAGTCTCTAGATTTCCCTTTGCCAATGGTCAACAAACCTTTCTAGATACCTGTTAGCAATTGTCATGCTTGCCTTTAGGTAATAGCTTAGTGCTGAGTCCAGCAACCCAAAGCAACCATAAATAATTTGTCATTGTTCTTACGGCTTTAAATGAAAGTATAACTAAAGGCAAAAAGATTTAGATAGAGTAGCGAAGGGTTAGAACCCGTCAGGTTTTTATTGCTAATTCAAGAAAAGACAAGGGCCACTGTTACTGGTCCAATATGTTATTTTGCTTAAAAAAGATCAGTTGAACAAAACGCCCATTGTGTTTCAATCAGGGATTAAGAATAACTTTGTAACTCCATTCAGTGTGTGGACTGAAGAGGATACATAACAATGGTTATCCGTTATAATGAGTAGTTATCATTTTGCAAAAGGAATGTTAGCAGAACATTTCCCCTCACATTTGAAAGATATCCTGAGTCTGCAGGACAGGAAGTGACAGGAAATCTCCCTCATGAGACACAGATAACAAACAAAAAAAACCTATTGGTAGTTTTATCTCTCCTCTACTCTATCCAAAAATGAAACAAAAAAAATGATTTGTCTTTAGATATACATCAAGAAAATGCGGTAGCTTGCTCTACATTACTGTACATCACTGTTGCTTGCAGGACAAAAACCTTCCCAGCATTTATATTTCACTGATTATTTTGCCATCACGTGTGTCAGTTTTACCATGCCATTTTGCACACACATGCTCATGATGTGTCTCGCCTTCCTCGTGTACTCATTGTGGCTTTGTTTTCTGTGTTGGGTTCTGTCTTCAGTTATTAGAGACACAAGCAGATTACCATAGAAAAGCACTAGCTGTCTTAGAAAAGGCACTGCCCGAAATCCAGGCCCAGCAAGGTAATGAAATGCAAACACCCCTGGCTTTCCCGCACTGCTTCCGACTCTGACCTTGTCTTCTTACACGGCTCCTTGTGTGTGTTTCTGTCTGGAGCCTACAGCGGGCAGTGTCTAAAACCCCCTGCTCAGCTCCACTTTCTGCTTAACTCTCTGCAGTGCCACCACTGTTCTGCTAGTGTTCTTCTACCATCTTTCTAATTGCTATTTTAACCATTTATAGATTGTTATTAATTCTTCCTGTTGATTATATTATTTGTTGAAAGTTGTGTTTCTATAAAATGCAAGGGATTCTCTCCCAGACAGGTAAGGGTACTACCTGAGATTGGCATCTTCCTGTGTACCCCAGGAGCCCCTCTAACCCCGGTATTCCAACTTATCGAGTTCTCCAACTGCCTGATTTCCGGTTTAGTTAGCGGCGGCCATATTGACTGGGGCACCAGAGATTAATAACGTGCAGGATTAGTGTGATCCTAGTTCATTTTCATACTTCATTGCTGTGGTGTATGTATATAGAGCAATGCCGTGGCTGCCGCTCGTGCACAAGAGCTTTCTTGGCCAAACCTCTTCGTTCGAATTAAACCGGAAGTTAGGCAGTTGGAGAACTCGATAAGTTGGAACTTTAGATAGAACAACGGCAAACACCAACTCCCCTCAGCTCCATCATGGTGTCTCCCACTGCCCATAAACCAGTGAGAATACCAGCTGGTAAAAGTGCTCTGATTGGTTTGGGAGCAGCAGATTAAGGCAGCGTTAGAGCTGGTAAATTGATGCCTCTATTCATAGTATTCCTGGGGTTGGAGGGGCTCCTCATTACACAATGGCTTAGCGAAACTTAATGTGACCCTGTCAGCACAGAATTACATGCAGCACCTGTATTCAAAGAGGTTCTATACTTACACTCTTTTCCAGCTGCCAGTTTGTTAAATCGCTGCCTCTTTGCTGCTGGCCAGGCACTGCATCTATTCAACTGGCCAGATGGGTTCAATACCTGTTTACCCCACCTCATACAATGGTTCTTCATGGCAAAGCACTAAAGAGGTGGCATTTCAACAAATGAGCTGCTGGAAAGGAATGTATAGAGCCTGTTTAATCACAGGTATTTAATTTTTTACAAGCGATCCTGTGCTGACAGGGTCACTTTAAAATGAAACAAGTTACCACTGGGTAATTTTAAGAATTTAAATCTGCACTCCTGAGCTGTTAAAAGTAGCCTTACCATTGTCCCAGTGATTAGTTATGTTTCTTGTTATTTACTTGTATTAATTTCCTGCTGTAAGACCAGTTCAGTGCTGAAAGCAGACATGGTCATAGTATAGGTGCATAAAGGAATAATTTCTCTATTGCCCATTGAGGGACACAACTCTGAAGAATTCTGAGACGTAGGGTCATGCTGCTGCCTACGTCTCAGAATTCTTCAGGGCCGTGTCCCACAATGGACTCCAAGAAAAGGATTTTACAGTAAGAACAAAATACTATTTTCTCTATTGCCCATTGAGGGACACAGCTCTGAAGAATTCTGAGATGTAGGCAGCAGCATAACCCTATGTCTCGGAATCCCTGTGTCCCTGAATGGATGCCAAGAAAAGGATTTTACAATAAGAACAAAATCCTATTTTTTCGTCCTTCAACAGCTTAGGCAAAGTTATGAGGCGTAAGCTGCGACAGAACACAGGTCAGCTTTTGTGGGGTCCTGACTTAAAGCTGACGTTTTTACTCTGAGAGGGATAGAATACAAATAAATACCAGTATATACAGCTATCCCTGAGAGGATAGGCTGCCATATTATAACTAACTACGAGTGGAGTTTCTTTCAAATGTTCAAGCCTGACCTGTTCTCCATGAAGTGGACCTTGCAATAAAATCCACCTATAACGTCCAGGCTCCCTTCCCCTGTAAACGTCACCATCTCTTAGGCCTCATTCACACTGACACTCCTACATTTAGCTTTTCTAACTGCAGGAGAAGTTATTTGGGAAGCATATAAAACATTTTTATGCTTCCCTGATCACATTTTCCTGTGTTTTAGATGTTCCAGCTTTAAAGTGTGTTTTTAGGCACATTTACATGTATTCAGCCACATTCAGAAGTTCTGTTTGGATCCTAGAAAGCAGTTTTTCCTACACGCAGGTAAAATGACCACGGCTGAATGCATGTAATAAACCCATTAAGAACTAGATGCATTTAGAATTGCCTTTTGACATTGATATAAATGCATCTAATCTCGTGTTCATTGACCCCGTGTGAATGAGGTCCCTTAGTATGTGCAAAAGTACCAGTAAAGAAAAACAGTTTAAATGTTATACTTGTCGTACCCCCATCTTCTGCCTTTGAAGTTTGATAAGAGTGATATTACACTCCTTCCGGTGAGATCCTGGGGAATACAGAGAAATCTCATGAGAAGATTGCAATGGACTGGAGTGTCTTCTCGCAAGATTTGATTCAGGTCTGTATTCCCCAGGAATCTCTCCAGAAGGACGGTGAAGTCACACTCTGTGATGTGGAAGACCAGGGTAAGAAGGTGTAAATCTAACCTTTTATCTTTTGCAGGTAGATTTTGCACATCTTAAAAGGGTTATTCACAAAATGGTGAAGAGTTGGAGAAGGCAGGAGAAGTGAACAATCTAGGTCAAAATAGCTGATTTTGAAAATTTCTCCAATTCAGCTCACTTTCCAGTTCAGTTCTGTTGTCCTAGATTGTTCACGTCTCCGGTCTTCTACAAACTCATCACCCTTTTGCGAATATCCCTGTAAGAGTCAATTATATTAACATGGTTGGGTCGGACCCAGACATAAGCAGACCTTGCAATGTCGGCTTCAAGCTGACCATCTGACAGACAACAGCAGCATAAAAGTGAGGAGCTCCATGGTGCTAAATTCCAAGGCTGCAGGAGTAACAATAATACTAGCAAACACTAACCTATGTGGGTGGCTGTGTTCCACAGACAGTGGCAGCTTAGGCTTTTAGCCATCTCCTTCTGGACAGATTCTGGTTCAGTGCATTTCATTGTCCTTTTCTTTTACTCCATTTTGCTTTTCTGCTTTTAACGGCTGCTAAAATGTTTTCTTCTCATCGCCACGTGTTTCCTCTTGTTGCAGACAAGTGGACGGAGAAGCCAGCATTCGGGACGGCTCTAGAAGAGCACCTGAAACGCAGCTCGCGGGAGATTGCACTTCCCATTGAAGCCTGTGTGATGATGCTGCTTGAGACTGGGATGAAGGAGGAGGTAAACCAATTTCTGACCTATCTTATCACAGCATTCCCTTCTCTGGACATCAGTCTCATAATTTACTTGCTGCTGCATGGTAAATTGTTATCTGCCGGTAGATGGTGAATGATTTGATATATAAAATGATTGTTACTAAAAAAACACAATAGTTTCAGCCATCTAGCCAGGTTTATTTAGAGAGTAGACAACACTGGTAGAACATTGGTGACTTTCTTATGTGTGGACATTAGCAGTCACCTAGGGAAATTTCATCTAGTATATTATATCCCTGAGAGCTATTGGCTGAGATGCCCGTGGGGGTCACCTAGTGCTTGTAGACATTCCATAATTTTTCATTGCACCCATCACATGATGATCTAGGCATTTTGCTGTCGAGGTATTTAAAATATTGTAACGACAGTAGGAACACTATACAGATCAGACTCACTCAGCACTTGGAGGTTGTCTACATCATTTGTATGCCATATTCCAGGGCAATAAGATAACTAACTCTTCCAGTTGATACAAAGACTTAGCTGCCTGCTACAATGACATTTGTGAGCAACAGATTTAGTTGAAGGAAGTAGAGAACGTTAGCCAGACAATCAATCAAAAATCTTTTAATGGTTGAAAATCTTCTTATTAACCTCTGCTTCTGTGACAGGGATTGTTCAGGATTGCAGCTGGAGCATCCAAACTGAAAAAGCTAAAAGCAGCTCTGGACTGTTCCACCTCCCAGCTGGAAGAGTTCTACTCGGACCCACACGCCGTAGCAGGTGAGCTGGGGAAACCCATTTTACTCTTAATTGGACATTCCAATCAGACTTAAAAATGTTGCTCGTAAACTTTATCAGGTGATACAGCCTTAGCCAGTTAGTAGCCCTAAAGGTGCCCATACACCTGCCGATTATCATACGATAATCGGCAGGTGTATGGAAGGCGTGCGACCGTTTCTACTGTACGGTCGCACGTCTTTTGTCTCCCGAGCAGGCGTTCTTGGGAGACAAATGCCAACTGGGCCGGTGTGCGCAAGCGCACACTGCCCGCTCAGCATTGTAGTCATCGGAAGCCCGCCCCTCAGCGGGGCGGGCTTGCGATGATCGCAAGTACGATCTGCCTGTCCAAGATGGGCGGATCATACGAGCTTTTAATTAGCTTACAACCCACGCAAGACGAAAGTCTTACGATAGTTGTAAAGTGTATGGCCAGCTTTACTTCCTGGTTGTCATTTGCACCTGTAGGTGCTGCAATCCAGTGCGATCGAAATAGTGCTTGCAGCATTTTGATTGCACAGGACATGACATGACTTTAATGTCGCAACAACCCAGGATTTATGGATCCCAGGATGCTAAAGAAGACAGTTAAAGTGCCACAATTAGAGGTATCTTGGCTTCAGGTTTAAAGCACACACCCCTAGACAAATAGAAGTGTTGCATGCATAATCAATGACTGTGTATTTTTAAATGTTACATACGTTAGAGAAAGATTTATTTTATGATGAAATAATTTGAATAAGACCTTCTCTTTTTTTTTTGAAGGTGCCTTAAAGTCTTATCTGCGTGAGTTGCCAGAACCTCTGATGACCTTCAGCTTGTATGATGAATGGATCGCTGCTGGGAAGTAAGAGCAATTTGAATAATTTACGTCCAGGGCTTTGCACTGGACACAGCAAGTCTTAAGGTGCCCATACACCTTGCGATTATCGTACGATAATCGCGGGTAATCCCGCGATCGTACGATAATCGCAAGGTGTATCGAAGGAGTGTGACCATTTTTACTGTACGGTCGCACGTCTTTTTTCGAACCAGCATGCTAGAAAACCCGCCAAGAATCGTACGATTCTCGGCGGGTTTCTAGCCTGCTCGTTCAACAACTGCGGAACGGGCCGGAGTGCGCACGCGCACGCTGCCTGTTCAGCATTGCGGTCATCGGAAGCCCGCCCCTCAGCGGGGCGGGCTTTCGATGATCGCAAGTACGATCTGCCTGTCCAAGATGGGCAGATCGTACGAGCTTTTAATAAGTTTACGACCATCGCAAGACAAAAGTCTTGCGATGGTCGTAAGGTGTATGGGCACCTCTTATACTCCAATGCGATTTACTGTAGTCAGACTTTAGACATTTGCACTACGTTTTGTTGCTGCGTTGTATACACTTTGTTGTAGAAGAGATTACTACAAGAGGAAATGTAAAAAAAGTATTAAATCATATTTTGCTGGAGATTAAAATAATAAATGCAAATAGCCTGAAAATAACAATAAAAACCCAGCCTTTGTTGCATGATTCCCCTTTAAACCCCCACACTCCTTTTTCTTTTTTGCCACTAGATGCCCATAGTTTGATGGCCAGCATTATTCAACTCACTTTTGAGCCCAGGTCATCCTGGACCCACCCTACTCTGTGACTGGGCAATGAAAGGAGAAGCAGCAAAGTAATAAGCTTATCTCTGCCACTCTAGTCTCTCCTTCTATCAGCATGCTGTTTGCAGCACACACACTGATTGGCTCCTTGTGCAGCTACTTCCTCTCCCACTCTAGTCCTGTTTTACAAGAACTAATACCAGGTCAAATTATAATACTTACACTGATTGCAGTAAAAAAAGATACATGTAATGGTATATTAATGGTTATGGAGCTGCATTAATTTGTGTCTTTTATAGCTGAGTTCAGCTATAAATTTGACAGTAGAAGTTCTCGATAACATAACCAGTCCATCTTCCTCTGGTGATGCCTAATGTGAATATAGAGAGATCTTACTGGCTTGACGTTCTATGTCTCTTTCTGCAGTGTGCCGGACCAGAACACCAAACTACAGAGCCTGTGGGTTGTGTGCCAGAATTTACCGAAACCTAACTTTGAAAACTTCAGGTAAGATGCTTTGCTGTTCTTTAGGATCCAACAACATAACTCTTCTATGAGGCCTGGTTCACACCTGGGCGTTTTACAGCGCTGATCGACGCGCTGTAAAATGCCCAGCAAGTGAAATCCCATTATTTCCTATGGGCATGGTTCCCACCTGGGCGTGTTTCAGCGCGTAGGAATGCGCTGAATAACGCCCTACGCCCAAAGAAGTACAGGAGCTTCTTTGGGGGGTATTTTCCGTGCGTATCCATTAGGATACAGCTGGATAGCCCTCATAAACGCGCGTTTGTCGTGCGTTTTGTTGACCGCAAATCGCGGTAGAAACGTGCGTCAACCGCGCATGTTACGAACGCCCAAGTGTGAACCCAGCCTAATAGTCAACATGGTATAAATTGATCTTCTGGGTGGGTCATTAAACAATCCTAGCAAGACCCAGCATTTGCAGGTAATGCACATCACTTGTGGTAATCGGACAGCTTAGGGGTTAAAGAAGCATTGCCACAACTTACTAACCTTTGTTTAATCCCCCTCATGTAGCACTAGGTCACATTCAGATCCGTGGCTGCGTTGTGGATTAAAAGGCATATTTATCTCTCTGTTGTGCTGGCTATAGCTCCACCCCAGTCTGAAGCCCAATATGTGACCATGCCCATGGGGGAGTTATAGGCGGCACTTTGGAGTCATTCATTGTGGTGCAGGAAACACTTTGTCTGCCCCAGTTTAGCAGTCTGCACTTAGTCAGCGCTGGCAGGGACGGGTGTCGCAATTTGTCACGTCTGTGGATGCTACATGCACACCTGTCACCACACAAAGCATCACTTCACTGAAAGCCACAATAGATACTGCCAACTTGTGACCATACAAGACAGTGTCTGACCTTCTGCTAAGGCTGGGCACACACCTTACAACCATCGCAAGACTTTTGTCTTGCGATGGTTGTAAGGTAATTAAAAAAACGTACGATCTGCCTATCTTGGACAGGCAGATTGTACTTGCAAGGGGCGGGCTTCCAATGACCGCAATGCCGAACGAGCCGTGTGCGCTTGCGCACACCAGCCCGTCCGGCTTTTATCGTACGAACATGCTACACACCCGCCGAAAATCGTACGATTCTCGGCGGGTTTTCGAATAGTTCCTAAGATAAAAGTTGTGCGACCTTACAGTAGCAGAGGTCGCACGGCTCCCACACACCTTACGATAATCGTACGATTATCGTAAGGTGTGTGGCCACCTTGATACAATGCTTCCTGCTCAGCTGTGGGTTTACCAAGCGCTGTCTGCCCCGCTGACACAATAAACAGTCATTGCCTCTACCTGTAGTAGGGCAGAAGACTATTGCTCACCATGATCCTGCACCTCTGATAGCCTTTAGGTAGCTCAGCCATTTAAATGAGCCAGCTTTTATCAGGGCCAAGGCTGGCAGGGTTATCCAGGATGGCTGACACAGAATGTATGAGTCAGGCCCTGCTGGTTGATCTGCACACAGGAGAGAGGCGCAGTAGTACTGTTGACCATGCTAGCTCAGGATCCAGACCACCTAATAGAATGGGACAAAGTGCTGCATACACTTTGTCCTCTGGGGGATAGGAGGATCAGACAGCATTTTTAGGGAAACGTCTTTTTAAATGTGTAACTCTAGCCAACACTTTTGTAGTACGGACATAGATAAAGGTATGAACGTTTGACAGATTTTTTTTATTACAGTATTTCATTTTTTTTTCCTTTTTTGAATTTTTTCCCTCTGCTTCCTGTCCTGGTAATGACATTGTAACAGTGACAGGAACTGAGGGAAAATCTCCAACAGCCACACAGACCGCAATAAAAAGCAGACAGTGGCCCCGGCCTTACTCGGAAGCAAAAAAAAAGCGCATTTTATTGCTGTCTGTGCCTGCCTTGGAGATTCCCCTTACTCTGTCCTGGCATTATTACCTGGACAGGGAACTACACTACGACAAATGGATGTTTCTATACTTGATCTTGGCTAGTCATTTTATCCATCACTTTTAATTTTTTTTATTTTACTTTTTTTCTCTCTTTTAGGTATCTGGTGAAATTCTTAGCCAAGCTCAGTCACTACAGCGATGTGAACAAGATGACTCCCAGCAATATAGCCATTGTGTTGGGTCCTAACCTGCTGTGGGCAAAGCATGAAGGGTGAGTACTGTGTGTGCCCAGCTCCAAGATAGACTTCCTGCAATGTAATTCCTTTTGTGTTAAAGGTTACCTCTCGGCTTTATTCCACTGGCACAATAGCCCATAGTTGAGAACTGGGTCAGGCGATTTGTCTTGGAAAAATACAATTGTGTTTTGGTTCCAGCGCCATCTACTGCTGGAAATGAAGAATAGCATTTTCAATGCCCACTGTAGATAAGAGGCTCTCTGTGTCGTCTTATTATAAAAAAGACACTTTAAACTTTCTTGTCTTCCTTATTACCATAGAAACAACTTGATTTTACGCTTCAGTCAATTTGGTGAAATGAGAAACCACCTGCATGGGTGGAGGGCAGATTCTAAGTGGTATGGTTCTACCACACATTCTTTGTCAATAAAACTGAGATTTTGATTTCTTTGCTGCTTTGTAGTGTTGTATATCTTTTTTTACCCCTTTTACCTTTCTTCTGTATGAACACTATTTTTGATGGGTTTCTCACGGTAGACTGCACATATTTAGTGCCTTTAGAATGGAAGGCTCATATGGGTGTGATGATCGGGTGACAACAAAGATTTATTGGCCTACCTATGTTCCCGGGGAGCCTTGACTTCCAACCACCTGGAAGCTGTAGCACATTTCCACAACTCATTAATCAGAGGCAAGAGCCTCAACACTCAGTAGAGGTGACCGCGTTAGATTATTGCACAGTAGAGGAGCAGCCTAATGTTAGGTCTTGGGGAAAAAGCAAAGTCCTTTGTGTAGAGCTCTGGGATTGGGTCATTGTCCAAGTGCATAGAAAGGCTATTCGGTACTATGCCGGCAAATAGCTTTGGTGTTTTTCCCTTTTAAAGCTGAACTCCCGCTTTCAAAATGTGTATATATACTTATATTGTTCCAATTTGGTACAATGTATATATCAAATGTTCCTTGGCAGGGCTACGGGGATCATGTAGCTGCAGCTACTACGGTGTATTACAGCATCTTTCAGGTCCAGGAACACCGCTGTGCTAAGCAGCTTCCTCTGTGCTGGTAAAACACAGCTAGTCGCTCCATCAGTATCCAGAGAACACCTAGAGGGGGATTTATCAAAATCTGGAGCAGCTGTGCATGGCAACCAATCAGCTTCCCTCTCTCATTTTCAAATCTTAACTGAACAGACTGAAGAAGAGAAGCTGATTGGTTGCCATAGGCAATGGCTCCAGTTTTGATAAATTCCCCTTCTAGTATTTTTCTGAATATTAAGCATTCTCTGATTGGATGAGGGGTGGTGACGTCACAGCCCTGCCAGGGTTCATTTATATTTACTTACCTTGTGCCTAGCTGGACTAATGTACGTGTCTATCTCAATGGACATGTGTCTTTTTTTAACTTGACTATGTAACTATATATACATTTTTTTAAAGCTGGTGTTCAGCTTTAGGCCTCATTCAAACAGCGTAGAGTGGGGCCGTACAGATCCGTGCGGCGTGCACGGCCATATCGGGCTGTTCTCGGGAAGGACAGGTGCTGCGTGTGATTGTATGCAGCAGCCTGTTCTTCCCTATGGGAGGTGCAGGTGTCCGTACTAAGACAGGATAGATCTTCTGCGCGGCCAAGTACGGACACCCGCACGGATGTGCAGCTCGGGTGAGCGTACAGCCGCATCCTCCCATAGGGAAGAACAGGCTGCTACGTACAGCCCCACTCTACGCTGTACAGATCTGTACAGCCCCACTCTACGCTGTGTGAATGAGGCCTTAAAGGTAAGTTAAATACAGCCATGGTAATTTTACCTGCCAAAGGATCTGCATTTCTGTCCATCCAGTGCCCAGATTTGCATAACTCTTTCACACAGCACCAGCATGCTGGTGACCTGACTCCATCTAAGTTGAACCAACCGTTTGCGCAGCGCTTTACAATATAAGGAACACATTACAATTACAAAACAGTTCAAGATAAGATCAAGTGCAGGTACTCAATCTAGCTGGAAAAACAGGATATAATTTATACATAACTGCATTCATTGTATAAGTGTGTATATAACATTGTATGTTCGCATTGCTAAGGCGGGCTTAGGAGCGAGGGAGAGCTCGGTAATAAAAGGAGGGTTGTGGCAGCAGGAGAGGAATGTGTGCCGCTGTGGTTTGGGTGTCAGTTTGCCGTTTCCAGGCTTGTGGTTTTCCATCTTGCCTCGTCTACTTACACGCTCTCTAATCTTCCGCAGGCCGCACTATTTCTCTGCTTATCAGCTTACCCACATCTGTTACCATACATATAATTTGTGTGTTCCCGTCCCTGTGTAATTTTACTCTGCAAAGATTCCCACAAACTTTTTCTATCGCTCTGAGTTTCTTGTGTAATGTTTGACTTGATTCAGCGGAGGGCTTCTCTAACCGCTGGTGTCATTTTAATATATTTTCGGATATTCATTGTAATTGGCAAAATGCACCTCCCCTCAGTGTTTTAGTATGGCTTTTAATCCGTTTATAGAAGCAAAAGCTAACATCTATATTTAAGTAATAGCAGTACCACAATGATTGAAGTTCAGCATCAGCATAGCATGTTGTGTGCATGATATGGAAGATAATGCACCTCTTAAGGTGCCCACACACCTTACAATTTATCTGCAGATGTTCTGTGGTCAGATGGAAATTGTGCAACAGATTCCTCCATCTACGCTTAACTGTGTGGATGAAGTAATCTCCACCTGGGCCAATCTGTTGCACTTTTTCCATCTGACCACAGAAAATCTGCAAATAAATTGTAAGGTGTGTGGGCACCTTTACAGATGCTTATAAGGATATTAAAAGTCAAAGACTTTGTGTTCACATAAAAGCACAAGGTAGCAGGATATGGAGTTGACTTCTAATTCCTTATTAATAAATGGGGCAAAAAAAACCTTGGGCATACAATTGTGTGTAATACAAAACTGCCACCACTTCAGTACTTCCAGCTGATTTCCCAGTAACATGAATCCCAAACTTGAAGACCTTTCGTTTTAAAGGGAAACTATGGTGTAAACCTGTCACAGACATAGGCAATGCAGACTGAGAATATGATGAAGAATTGCAGAAGCAAAGGTTACCTTCAGTGAATACTGCATGTTAAAACCGTCCAGGGATATAAGCAGCTCAAATTCTATACATATCTTAAAGGTTATGTAAAAACTCCTGTATAACAGTCCATTTCGATTACAATTTGACGCGCAAGGCTCATAAAGTAAACAAAAAATCTCCCTTTACCTTACCTGAGTGAGCCAATCCTCCATCTGTGTCTCACACGCTTCCTCTCCCAGACACTGCAGCTCACAGTGGGAGGGTTTCAGCAACAGGGCAGCACTGCCAATCCAGAAAGCAGTGGACAAGACTGGGTATGTCCACGTGCTGATTGGCAAACGGGTTTGCCAATCGGCACTGATAGCGCCGATAGTCGTGACCCAGCATTGCTTCATCCTACGTGAGAGTGACAACTTTGCTCTGAATTCAGGAACAGTGCTGCATTGTTGCCACACCATCACAGGAAGCTGCATTAGGCGGACTTCATTGGCAGGGTCTGCAGGTATTTGTATGACTTTGCAGGACAGGACAAGAGAACACCATGAAGTGCAGATGTACTTATGATTAAGTGATGCTGCTCATGTTTTTTTTAGTGTTGAATCAGTTTTTATTAATTTTCATAAACTGCTCATGTTTTTTTAATGGGAGGCCATAGTTTTACTTTATATTTTTCCTTTAAAGATTAGCTTGGTCAAAGAAAGAAAGGTCCATGATGCCGAAGAGGCCAAGCTTTAGTAGAAACGTTACAGCTGTACCCTGAGCAGGAAGCATGTTAAGACTAGAGGATACCTCTCCTCTTCTCTATAACATAGGCAGGGGGAGTTCTGTACTTCATTGAGGGTGAGCTTAGCAGGGCTGATGAGTGTTGCATAGGCAGAGAACACAGAAATGTAGGAGCTCATTGGATTTCTGCTTTTTAAAGAGACAAAAGGTGGGGAAATGTGAATGTATTGATGTGCTGGATATGTTTTTACAAATTTAGAGTATAGAGGTTTAAATATTTTCAAAGTGCAGATTATTTATCATGACAAAATAAAATAGATTGCAGATGGCTAAAAATAACTTTTTTTTTCTTCTTTGCAGAACACTGGCAGAGATGGCAGCCGCAACTTCAGTCCATGTGGTGACAATCATTGAGCCTATTATACAACACGCAGACTGGTTTTTCCCTGAAGGTAAGGCAATGGATGGCTGCTGATGTGAAGCTATAGAGCTCATTCATTTACAGTAATACCTTGGTTTACGAGCATAATTCGTTCCTGAAGCATGATTGTAATCAAAAGCGCTTGTATATCAAAGCAAATTTCCCCATCGTAAATAATGGAAACGCAGATGATTCGTTCCACAACCCAAAAATATTCATATAAAAATTATTACAGTACTGTAATATAATACTGCACAAAATCTGAAGGAAAATAAACCAATGACCGGTACCTTCGTGGCTGGCGTTAGGGAGACAAGTGAGAGGAGAATTATTGTGTAGGAGGATTTTCACTATCACTAACGGAATCACTGCTATCTCTTGGTTAAATGGAATCTTTTTCATTTCGTGAAACCTTAACGAGGAATCTATCCAATGACACTTGCTGTTGCCTCCTTTTGAGGATTTGGTGGAAATGTGACATTGCATTGTCGTTAAACAGATTCATCGCTCGCACTGCTGCAGCCTTATTCAATGGTGCTTTTCTATTTCAAAGTTTTTATTCGGGTTTTTCACAAACATGGGTCAGTATACATAGCAACGGGACCATGCATTATACATATCACTGAGCATACAGGTGACCAACATATGTAAGGGAAAATATTATACGTGGTCCTGTAGTACATCTTATGCGAGGAGACTATATTGAGCAACCTAACGGAGTCAGGTTGAAGCAACCGTAATGCAAGATTACTAACGTCTACTCAGTTCAGAAATACAATATATAACACAGGGTCCCAAAAGAGGGAGAAAGAACAAAGGAAAAAGAGCTAAAATAAAATATATTAAAAACAAAAAGGGGGGGAGGGGGGAAGAGTTAGGAAAGATTGAGATAGGGTATAGGACAGAAAAAAAAGGGGGGGGAGGATCTGGCTACTTTGGTTACACTCCATGAGGAACATCAACAGTAGGAAAGTAGTTATATTACCTACTCTGGAGTGTAATCTCCTTACAAGCACAATAAGACATCCTCATATGCCACAGAGCCTAGACTCGGTCATGTGAGGGTGTTGGAGGTGTATCCATGGTTCCCACACCTGGGGAAACACGGGTTGTCTATCAACCAATATGCTTGTCATCCGTTCATTCAACATGATATTGTCCACTCTAGGCATAAATTCCCTGTACGATATTTGTTGCTTCTTACAATTACCAGCCACAGTTAACTTGGCTGCTCGGTGGTGCTTTTCTACAAAATGTTGCTTGTATTGCAAGACATTGCTCGTATTTCAAGGCAACATTTTTCAGAAATGTTTGCTTGTCTTGCGGAACACTCGCAAACCAAGTTACTTGTAAACCAAGGTATTACTGTATTTATTTATTACAGGTATTTATATAGCGCCAACAATTTACGCTGTGCTTTTCACAGTGCACATTCACATCAGTCCCTGCCCTCAAGGAGCTTACAATCTAAGGTCCCTATATCACATGCATACATACAAGGGCCAATTTAGACAGGAGCCAATTAACCTTCCAGCATGTCTTTGGAGGGTGGGAGGAAACCGGAGTGATCGGAGGAAACCCACACAAGCATAGGGAGAACATGCAAACTCCTTGTAGATAGTGACCTGGCAGGGATTCAAACCAGGGACACCCAGTGTTACAAGGCAGAAGTGCTAACCACTAAGCCACTGTGCTTACACATACGGTACGTAGCTAATGTGTAACAGGGTCTATAATATCTTTTATAAATATGTTTATAGAACGTATCCATTATTAAATTGCTGAGTTGTATAAATGCCATTCACTTTATTTTGTGTGCGGTTGCCCGTACATATAGATTTGTGAATGCTTAAAAAGAAGCTGCACTTTTAACACAATGGCTCTTTAAATTTACCCCGCCATACAAAGCAATTCTTATATACAATAACCATTGCAACACTTCTCTTCCCTACTGGTATGGCTTTGGTGCACTTCTTAACTCTGTACGCTTCAATGTTTTGTAGATCTGAGAGCTGCATTAACCACTCAGCAGTTTTACTAGGGTCTGCCATAGGAGGCTGTAATAGAGATTTTTAGATCTACACATACAGGGCCAATTTAGACAATTGGCAATTAACCTTTCAGCATGTCTTTGGAGTGTGGCAGAAAACCCGCACAGGGAGAACATGCTGGCCTGTATTTGAACGGAGTGCCCCATTGGTGCAAGGCATTCTCTTCCCTTTCTGTGCAGGCCTTAAAGTTGGCTATTTAAGTGCATTACCTTACAGAATCAAAGCTGATGGTACAAAGATGTCTTATATTTACAGATTCAATCTTTGCCTGATTGATCAGTTTGCCATTTACCTGTTACCCGTTGCATCAACTGTTATGTCCACTCTTGACTTTTTGATCTTCTTCCTTCAGATGTGGACTTTAATGTATCCGGAGCTTTTGTCCCGGCCACTCCATCTTCCCACCATAATAACGTGTCCAGCGGAAATGACATGCCGTATGAGTTTGGTCTTTTCGAGACCAAGAAAAGGCCGTTTAGCATGGCCATTGCGGAGGACCTCTTGAAAAAGGACAGGTGGGTTATAGAGAAATAAAGTTTTCAGATTTTGCTCTTAAAATGGAAACCTTCAGTACATGGAAGCTGCCATTTGCTGACTTAATTTTGGAGTCTACAAGGTCTAGGCCTGTTATCTTATCCTCGATTTAACTTTAACTGAGTCACTGATGCAGTACAAGTCTGTAGCTTGTGCCCCAATACCTGATGTGCACATAAACTGGTAAAACAAAATAATGGCACCATCTTATAACAGAAGTGGTTTTCTACTTAGTTTATCAGCAGGCTGTGTGTGCAATCTTCTCTCCTTTGCAGAGCCCCAGGCTCTGCAAAGGTTCTGTCATCCTTCACTTGATCTCTATAAAGTTCAGTCACCCTTCGCTCGGTCACCCTTCGCTCGGTCACCCTTCGCTCGGTCTCTGTGAAGTTTTGTCATTCTTTACTTGGTTTCACATCCAGTCATCAGAGATCAGAAGCACTTCTCCTTGTGTAGTATAAAACATTATTTTAACAAAGCAGAGCTTGGGGAACATGAAAAAGCTACCTCTGCTCCCCCCGCACAGTAAGTGTTAAATGTTAGTTTTTAACCTCAGTGGCTGGGAAAAAGCACTTCTACTCACCTTATCCCTCACTGCCCTGGCAGCTAGCGCTCTCCTCTTCCCTCTGACGCTCTGGGTTGTGGACCAGCCCTCAATGTCCTCACCTGAAATACAGGGCTGTTGGTCCTGCATCATACATGATGCCACAGCTGCATGTGCTGAACAGAAAAGGCTGTGGGGGACTGGTTGCATGAAAGGAGAAGACTGTGAGGGATAAGGTAAGTAAAATTGTTTTTCACTGCTACCCTAGTTAAAAATGAGCATTTAATCCATGCAGTGCAGGGGAAGCCCCATTACAAGGCTATTTATTAATTTCCCCAGTGTTCAACTTTTAGAGTTTCTAATATGAGAATGCAACTTTTAGAGTGTGTACGCAGGCATATTACAAGACTCCCCGTGTTTGTGTTCGCTTGAGGCTGGCTATCCTCTGCCTGGTCCCAGATTTTGCTCTGCCAGCCATTGCTTATGCACCTCTGTCCCTAGTCCCAGTGTGTGTTGGACTATGACTATGCACATGCTTGTTGCAGGTCACTGACTAAAAAAAAAAAATTGACTTTAGATCTAGAACTTTGGGGGAAAGTTTCTTAACCCTTGCAGCGGGGCTACCAATGCATTGCAAGGGTTAAGTACTCGTTTTGGTCTAGGTTCAAAAACAACAAAGTTATACTCACACGATCTTTGGATCCGGCCTTCTATGACAGGACTCTCTCCTGCCTGTCTGTCTGTTCCTCCGCTGCAGCGATGGAATGTCCCTTGGCATCCTCACGTCCAATACACAGTGTACAGGACATGATGACTCATGGGACCTTAGATCACTGGAATGGAGAAGGAAGCAAGGCTGAAGGGACCAGTCTAAGAACAAGCCATCCCCGGAGATCAGGTGAGTATAACCTAGATAAAAACAAGCACTTAAAGGAGAACTATGAGGTGAGTGCTTTTCACTCATCCTCATAGTTCTAGCCGACCTGTGACAATGAGACTGTCACAGGTCGGCTCAGTAGATCGGGAGGTGAGCGAACACATACCGGGTTCGCTCGCCTCTCGATCCTGTCACGGCTCTCTGCCATGACAGGGGAGGGGCTGGATTCCCCCCTCCCGGCTCCGATCCTCCAGCGCTGACTGGCGGAAAGGACGGGGGAGGGGCGGGCACAGCTGGCTCTGCCTCTAGATGGTCAGAGCCAGCTGTCACTCACCCAGCTGGGCGGATACAGACATAGTTGTCGGGATCCGTTTCAGCTGCGGCGTCTCAGTATACCGCGAGTTGTAGCTCGCGGTATGCTGAGCTTAGGGTGACGGGAGGACGCTAGTTTGTGTTGTCCAGTTACCCTTAGGAGAACTATGGGGAAAAGCCTTAACCCCATAGTTCTCTTTTAACCCTTGCTCTGGCGGGGTAGACCCAATGCTAGGGTTAAGAATTTTTACGTCGGAATTCTGCTTTAAGATGCCCAATATGTGTCGAGATTTGTTATCGGAGCAGCTATAGCCTCCTGCCAGCTTTAGCAATTCTGTTGATTCCCCTTTGGCTTTGCTTATTATTAAGGTGTTTTTTTGCCTACAGAACTGCCACTCATTGGATGCTATTTTTTGTTACACTATTCTATATAAACCCAGAGACTGTAGTACATGAAAATACCAGGTGGTCAGCAGTTTCTGAGACCTTACAGTATCTGGAACCTTACATTGTGTTGAGATGCAGCCACATGATTTCCTGTCTGGCTTTTTGCTTTATCAAGAAAGTGTACCTAGTAAGTTGCTCAGTCAGGGTATATAGAAGTTGTACTGTGCATTCTTACTCAGAAGAGTGGTAAGACACAGCAAGATATTAAAATCTAGTCTTCTGTTGGGGTACCCCCTATGAGCAGAATCAAATGTTTATCACACCGTTTTTCCCTATGTTGGGAAGTGTGATCATTTAGCAGTTCACAGCACATTCTGCAATAGGCCATCAGCACAGTCAGCGATACAGGTTGTGGCACTTCCTGACAATGACAAATGTGAATGAGCGTCAGCAAATCTCTCATATACAGTAGGTCTGCGTACATGTGGCCGCACTTGGGTTCTGTTCAAGTGGTGTAATCAGTGTCTCCTTCTGTCATACTTCAGTGGTGGCCTCAAAGTTCTGGACTTCCAGTTCAATGTGAGGAGGGGAGGAACTTTAAACCGAAAACACGCATCCCCTGCCTTTCATCCGCCACTGCCACCCAATGATGGTGGGACACAATCAGAGCCAGCTGGAACCCCAATAGATGTTACCACTGCTAACAGTTCTGCACAGCCAGCAGTCCATGCAGAGCCTGTGTCGGCTCATGGACAAGAAGAGGCCAGGTAAGGACAAGCATGTGCATTATACGGAGGGTTTGTCATTCATTGCTCTTATCACATATGATCAAAATTGTTATTCCATTGTCATCCACAGCACAAACAAGACCAAAGAAGCTCCTACAGCGACCACACCCCCATCTCTACGGAATGGATCTCTCTCAGCTGCTGCAGCCAACACAAACCAGTTAGTGGGTGTTCCTGCGCAAGGTGGCGCCAACCCAAGTCCTCACTCCTCAAGAAAAGGTGAGTAGCATGTCGTGAACAAATATTATATCTCATGCAGAACAGGGCTGTGAAAGGAAGTGCATATTTGAAGGTTTGGTATTGTGCGTCTACTTCAGAGGTAAGTTGATATGCCACGCTCTGAGATTCCTCCCTTGTCTGGGTGCTATAAATTCCCGGTGGCAGTCAGTGGAACCTGTACATAATCCTGGCAGGCAGCAGCGGTGATGAGAGATTGCCTGAGAAACTTCATGGAGGTGAAACGAAATAGGCTGCAAATGTGCATAATATACATGTGGGCTACTCTGATCTGTTTCCACCCTAAATCATTGTTTTGGCTGGAAGAACTATGAGGTGAGTGCTTTTCACTCACCTCATAGTTCTAGCCGACCTGTGACAATGAGACTGTCACAGGCCGGCTCAGTAGATCGGGAAGTGAGCGAACACATACCGGCGTTCGCTCACTTCTCGATCCTGTCACGGCTCTCTGCCGTGACAGGGGAGGGACTAGATTCCCCCCTCCCCGCTCTGATCCTCCAGCCCTGACTGGCGGGACGGACGGGGGAGGGGGCGAGTACAGCTGGCTCTGCCTCTAGATAGTCAGAGCCAGCTGTCACTCACGCAACTGGGCGGACCCAGACATAATTGGAGACCTATGGGGAAAAGCCCTAATCCCATAGTTCTCCTTTCAAAGAGAAGATGCCATTGCTGACCTCTCCTTCTGAAAAATGTTAGTTTCCTGGCTGTCAAGTTGACCCCCTTGCTTCATTACCGAGTTACTGACCCAGAACAAGTGTGCAGACTACATGCACATTTCCTTCATGCTGTATTGCTTTATAAGCTCAAAGTAAAGAAAAATACCTGTTATTCCTGTTAGAATTCCAATGTGTTCCTCTACTGCTGTAGTGAGCCAACAACACTGCCCTTGCTGCACAGAAATCCCAAGCAGTGTTGTCAGCCCTGTCTGGGTGCTCCCCTGCTGGACTACAGAACTCCACCTATCCCCAGTGCTCTATTTCCCTCTCTATATCTATATTTGATTTTTTTGTTGTTACAAAACAATGATGCTGTTTTGATTCCCAATAGATTGCTCACATACTGTGTGTAGGAAAAGGGCCTTTGGGAGATGTAGCTGTGGGAGAGTGTCCAAGTCAGTAGGAGCTCTCCTTTTATCAACTGCCTGTGCAAGAATTTTCAAAGGCTGGTGATGTCACATGGAGTAATTAAAAACTGTTTTTCACTACTAGAACCGCATAACTTTAAAAAAAATAAAAATAATGCTGGTAAGATGCTCTAGAGGTGGTGGTAAATTGGGGTCAACTTTAAAATACTTTTTTAATTCTATTTAAATAATAGTCCTGGAACTAGAAATTGGCTGCTTTCATCAGGGGAATATGAGCTGGCTTGTTTGCATTGTGACAGATTCAAGTTTTAAACTAGTGAGAGGGTTATTTTTTAGTATTTCAGGCATTAGTACTTTTTTAATTTTAAAATGTATATTTTTTTTCTCTTGCAGTTACTAAGAAACCTGCCCCAGCTCCTCCAAAGCCAGTAATTGCCGCTCCTGTACAACCTGGAAATCAGAATGTGCCTATTGCAGCTAATACCCCTCCCTCCATCTCACCCAAACCCTCCAGCCACGGCCATAGTCCCTCCCCGCCAAACAGTACCAGTAATCAAAGTGGAACAGGAGCTCCTGCTTCACACTCATATGGCACCTTACCACGCAGGCATTCGGGTAGCCAGCCCTTCATACAGGCACCGAACCATCCTCCCCCGCAGCCACCCGCACAGCCAGCACCTCAGCCTAAGCCCACAATTCAATCCATGGTGTCACCATCCACAGAGTCAACTACAGAGCAATCCTCCAGTCCCTCACACTCCCCAACACCACCAGATACCCCTCCTCCCATTGCAGAGCACCCAACTGCCCACGGCATCCTGCCGGAAGCCACTCAGACCCACCCCTTGCCCCAGCAAAACTCTGGCACCCTTCCTCGGCCGCGGCCTGTCCCCAAACCACGTATCCGACCGAATGTCCCCCCTCCTCCCCAGCCCCCAACATCTAATTTGCCTGGAGAAACACAATCACTATCTACTTCGAAGTTCATCACTGGTAAGTACAGTAGAGTCTGCAGAATGAATATAGATGTATACAATGTAATGTTAAATTGAAGGGGAAAAAAAACTGAGTCAGTAAAAATCAAGCACCTAAAGTCATCAGTCATACTGAGAGTCCAGAGTTTTGAAGATCGAGAGGTTCTTAAGGTGTCCTACACTAGTTCACTGCTAATCTCCTCATGAAAAAACATTAAATTGTTTTACTCCACAGCGGCAGCTTGAGAGTAGAGTGCAGTTATTGACATTGTCTTTTCTCTTTTGCCGAACTAGCATTTCCTTAGTACATGTCCTTTCAGTCCACCAGTAACACATTGAGAGCATGTTCATTAAAGAGTTCAGCACAAAGGTGAGGAGCTGTGAAATGTTGAACCCCAGTCAAGTTGTCTCTGAAGTCTGGATATCATTGTAAGGCTCAATCCCAGACTACAATTGAAGTTATACAAAGGGTGCAGGGTTTTTTTTAACCAGTTTTTAAGAAGAAAGTAATTTTATCAGCAAAATAAGAGGAAAGTCACGGGGAGTCACGTATACAGTAGCGAGTGGTAAAGACAGGTCTCCTGGGTTTCAATAATCTATCAAATAACAAGCAAGGCTCCCCTAAATACGAAATCCCATAAGATGGAGCTGTCTATAATAGAAAAACAGGCAGTACAATGTATCAAAAATTTAATGAAAATAAAGAAATAGAAAACAACATAAAACAAAATCGCATCAAAAAAACACCAACTGACAAAGACATTTAAAATCAATAAAAAGCAAGTCCTCCTTAGTATGGCCCGAGTGAAAAAAAAAGTGCAGTTGAAAATATATTTTGACAGTAATTTTACTTATTTATTTTTTTGTTATTCAGTTTAGCATTTTGAAAAAAAGATATATAGGTCCCTCATGTTAAGCCTTTTTTATTTTTTATTTCATTAGATCAGGGTATGTAACACTAACAGTCCTGTTGCTGGTGAGTTGTTGCCAGCAACAGGCTTGCTAGTGTTACATGCCCTGATAGTACTAGAGGAAGCACACCATGGCAACACGTCCTTGCTTGGTTAAACACTGCAAGTCTTGTTCACCAGCCAGAGCAGCATCAGAATGACCTCTCGCTGGTTCGGCCGGCAAGGTCCGTGGGAGCAAAGTCAACATGGGAAATTGAAGGGCAACTCTACTTCGAGTAAAGCAACGAGAAGTTAGTCTTAAACCTCTCCATCATGTACACAGTAAGAAGTGGCTTTGACTTTAATTTTCAATATCTGCCCATTACAGGATTGTATTTTATGATGGGTGCTGCTCTGAAGCTCATGTAGAACATGGTGGTTAGAGAAGCCATGGTCTGTGCTCCATCTACTTTTCACCAGGTTACATTGAGGGCATCCAGCACAGCCTTTTGGTTAGTGAGCAGACTTTAGTCCAAGTTTGCCTGTTTTGATCGCTAGATCCCTTCTGGGACAGTAAGGCAGTCGCACTCATTGACTCCTTCACTGCTAGTCCCTGCTTAGTGCAAAGCTTCTTAGGGAAAGGACACTGCAATAGTGTTAGGAATACTTTGTGGAATCAGATGCACTCCATAGCACTAATGGAAAAGCTACCTGCTGCAGCTCATTAATTATTCAACCTTTTCCTAATAGCAGTATGGATCTCACAAATTCCTACTTTTGTAAACTTGTGTTGTTGCACACAAAATGGCCGCTACCTTCAAACACAACGGCTTGTGCCTGCAGACCAGATGCTGTTGTGCCTTTGCCCTAAATCAAAAGTGGATTATATCTTCAGTCCACCCTGGCTATCACTGGCTGTTTTGCTCTCAGCATGACACTAAACCTAAAATCAGAGAGGGGGGTGGTGGGGGTGACGGTGAGCTGCGTGGTGGGCAGTGCTTGCTAATAGTTTTGTCTGTGGTGCCTCCAACAGGTTGCGAAAGTTACCGGTATTAAGGTTTGTACACTGCTGACACTGCCTGCACTGCCTCTGTGTTTGTATTGACCGCTTGGCCTTGCGACCTTTGCCGTCTCTGATTTTCATTTCACCACATCCCACTCTCAACCATATTGTCCAGACCCCCTCCCTACCATCTGCACCCTGCACCAAATCTGCATTTCATCAGCACTACCCTGCACCATAGCAATGAACACTCCTGGGGAGCTGATCCATGTCCTGATACATCAGAAAGCTTATTGATCAGATGGCTACAGTGGCTTTCTGCACCATGAATCAATTGCTAATGGAACCAATTAGGTTCCCCCTTGGGCCCAGGGGAGCTCTTCTTACAGATGCTTACTTTTTCTGTAGTGGTTAACGTTATTATGAAGCATATGATGAGTAAGGGCCTATAGCAGCGAGGATTGCGTTAGTGGGTGTTGTCTGATTTCACTTTACACTACATCACTGTCTAAGCCAAGGTGCTCTGTATTGTCATTTTAAAGAGACGCTGTCACCAGACCAGATCATCTCAACAAAAATCTTCCAACAAAATTATGTGTCCATTTAATGTGTTTTATGCATGTTATTTATCTGTAGTAGCCTCCCTTGTGTAGACATCCAAAAGCCCTGAGTGTTCTGCTGTGCACCACCATCTTACATATGTCCTCAGCAGTTTCAGCAGAATCTGAACTGTCACTCAAGTGACTCTCTTGTATTCCTCTTTGCTACTTCCCCGGCTGCTACTTAAAAGGATATGCAGGCAGGAGAAGGGGAGGATGGTGGAGTTGGACCATGCACAGACATTAATTAAATACTCCCAGAAGAGGAGAGGACTACCATGTGCAAGGAGGGAGGGAGCTGTGCTATGGGATTCCACTTTCCCGAAGAAGTCCAATTTTCTAGCAATTTAAGAGACGCTTCACTTTGTAGGTGAATAAAAAGTAATTTATAGAAAGGGAAAATGCAGCAAGTAAGCATTTAAAATGTTTGATTTTTCTCTACTTTTACTTGCATTTTTTAAAGTTGGTGACAGGGTCTCTTTAAAGGGCCACTGTAAACCGAGCAGCTAATAGGTTTTGCAGTGTAAATTGCACATCGACATCTCTGATGCTATGTTAGAGCGAACTTGTCAGGACAGAAATGCTGCAGCTGTCATTGATGTCAGTTATTCTTTATTTTCAGTCACTGGAACCAGTATGCAGGTAGCCATCTCCAATTCACTGGCTACATACTTATTCTGGATCTTATCCTGGTTCACTTAGTAGTAAAGTGAGGATGGCAACCCCGATACTTAGAGATATCAATGACAGTTCAATATTTCTCTTATGACGGGTGTGTTAGTAAGTCCCAATCTGACTGACTTCCAAGGCCACAGGCCTACTCCTCAGTCTAGCCTGCACACCTATGGGGCCATTTTAACACCTGGGAAACAGAAGCACATACATATGGATCAGGCCAAAAGGCTAAGTAACAGCATTGTTTAAAATGGCTGCCCAGGATTTTAATGAAACTGCACACACTTGGTATTCCCCTGCACCCCTGCATTGATGGTATAAGGCATCACATCCTTCGTGTTGGGTGGAACACTGCTTGAGGTATCCTGGTGGTAGAGCTGGTTTTAGTTTGCATGGTAGTTGGCTATGTTCACCTCACGTGTAGACACTCGGACTAGTGTAAGTGATTGTAGCCGGTACAATAGTGATACCATATTGACAACATTGCTCAAAACTGATGCACAGATTATAGCATTATAGAGGCAAGAGCCAGCCAACTGAATGCTTTCACATACTTTGTACGTTCAAAGCCATCACACGGCTGGCTGTTAAAGCGCCTTTTCTGCATAAGTATCTGTGTACCAATTTTCATAATTGTTCTCAAATGTTGTTTTATATATGTTTATGCTTTCAAATATATTTTATTGCATCCCCTATGGCATTTAACATTGCACGGTCATAGTTTTACATACATGCGACCACAAACGTGTTTTGCATGTGTGTACTTCGAAATGTTTTTATCTTAACTGCTTCATTTAATGACACAATCGATAAACAGGTATTAACATTAAAATGATACCCATGGTCAGTCCATTTGAAACAGGTATTGCGGTTTATGATATGGGCTCGACAGTTTAACCACTAGACATTTTTCTGTATGTCTCAGGGACTCTGTTGGTGAGATCTCAGGTCTGCATACCTGATGTGCCCACTATGAGGGCTCATACAATCCCTGTGCTGAGTTCCTGGGTCTGTTTTACCTGATGTACCCATTAAGAAGGGCCCCCACCATCCCTGTGCTGAATTCCTGGATCTGCATACCTGATGTGCCCATTATGAGGAGCTCCCACCATCCCTGCACTGGTTTAACAGGTCTGCACCCCTGCTGTGCCCATTATGAGGGGTCCCCACCATCCCTGCACTGAGTTCCCGGACCTGCACTTTGCTATACCCATTATAAAGGGCTCCCACCATCCCTGCACTGAGGTCCTGGGTCTGCACTCTTGCTGTGCGCATTATGAGGTGTCTCCACCATCCCTGCATTCTCTTATGGAGAATGTTACAAGTGGGGCCTAAACACACAAAGGTGGGTTGAAATACCCCAAACTCCCAAGTGGACAGCAACAGCTTCAGGAATTATGCTAAGATCTCGCTGTTGGAGAATCCAAGACATATGAGAAGCCAGGGGCTGGCGCAGCCCACCCGACTCTACCTATACAAATATCGCTTTTAGGCTGGGTTCACATCTGGGCGTACGGAATATGCGCGTTTGCCGTGCGTTTCGTGGCGTGCGTTTTACAGCGATTTGCGTTAAAAGAAATGCGTGTTTTCGAGGGCTATCCCGATATATCCTAATGGATACGCGCGACAAATACGCCCCAAAGAAGCTCCTGTACTTCTTTGGGCGTTTTACAGTGCGTTCCTACGTGCTGTAAAACACCCAGGTGGGAACCATGCCCATAGGCAATCATTGGTTTTCACATGTTGAGCGTTTTACAGCGCGTAGGAACGCGCTGTAAAACGCCCAGGTGTGAACCAGGCCTTAGGTGGCCTGACCCTTTAAGCGAGCCATCTTGTAAGAACCGGTGTTCAATATGTCAGAGTAGTAACTTGCAACAGCCCTAGTAAGCTTTGTGAAAAATTGTTTTGACCTAAAAATGCCGAAATCCTTTAAAGGAGAACTATGAGGCGAGTGATTTTCACTCATCCGCATAGTTCTAGCCGACCTGAGCGAACACATAACGGCGCAGCTCACTTCTTGATCATGTCACTACAGAGAGCCGTGATAGGGGAGTGACTGGATTCCCCCCTCCCTGCTCCGATCCTCCAGCGCTGACCGGCGGAACGGACGGGGGAGGGGGCGTGCACAGCTGGCTCTGTCTCTGGATAGGCAGAGCCAGCTGTCAATCCTGCAGCTGGGTGGGTCTCAAAAGCAATGTTGGGATCCGTTCCGGCTGCGTTGTCTCAGTATACCGTGAGCTGTGGCTCGCGGTATACTGAGCTTTGGGTGACGGGAGGAAGCTAGTTTGTGTCCTCTCGTTACCCTTAGGAGAACTATGGGGAAAAGCCCTAACCCCATAGTTCTCCTTTAATGACAGGTTCTTTTTAAATGACTTGGTGCATTTCCACTTTTGGAGTCAAATATGAGAAAACCCCTCTTTATGTTTGTTGTGTTCTCATATTAACACAGCATACCCAAAAAATATATTTCTTCTTAAGTTCCGGGATCGGGGAAGGTATCTGAGCATTCGGGCGAGTACGAGTACTCGCCCAAATACTCGGTATCGGTGCATCCCCTAGGTATGACCATTAAAAAGTATTACAGCTGTCACTGGAAAAGGAAGTGAAGGAAACCAAAAGTTGACACTTGTGATAGGAACAGGAAGTAGAAAGGAACAGGAAGTAGAAGGATATATCCTAAACGGTTCATCTATGCTAGCAATAACTGCCATGTTATCATGGACATTTACTTGTACTCCCTTGCTTTGTCTGGACAGGAATGAGGGGAAATTCCTCTATGGGTCTACATGGTGATAATTGTCCTAGGTGGGACTTTCTTAGACTTCCTTTCAGGTGTGTGAAAGAAATGGGGGGAAATCTCCCCAGTGGCAGTAGAAATTTGACAAAGGACCTAACCATCCTCCACTCTTAGAAGAATCCATAATGGTTCCTTATTTCTTTTTCACACACAAAGTATGGTTCTATTTTCTCGGGGGAACCACTCACCTCCTTTCCTTTAAGCATTAGTACTGTAGAGATGAAAGAAAGGAAGAACCTGATAGCTTACTAAGAGCATCAAGAGCAGTACTTCCTTCAGAGAGATCATGGAGCCCGCTGCAGGCAGCCATTTTTTCTTGTTAACCATTACACAAAGGACAGGCAGCCAGTCAGTTCCCTGTTACTACTCTATGTGCCAAACTGATATATTGATTATTTAGCTCAGCCAGCAAGATGGCTGCCTTTAGAGCAAGTAGCTCAAAAATATTTGGCTTAACATGTTTCCCTGTATCAGGTTTCTAACTGTAAATAATTTTATTGACCAACTCAGATGTTTGATGGGGCTTTATCAGTAAACACTTGACTTTGGAAAATGGTAAGGAATGAGGCACGTGATTGGCCAAAACATACACTCATCTGACACCTGCCCTCCAATCATGATTTCTCTCACTTGTGCTGGGTACTAACCATGTGTGGCCCTAACCAGGCTTGTGTGCACTTACTAATACAGCATGTGGGCTCCACAGGCATTTGGCTTGCTTCCTTCTAGACTGCGTGATTATCACGTGGAACGCGAGAGCGCACAAGCTGTTGTGATTAAACCTACACAGGTTTGTGTTATGCTATTGTCCTTACACTGCTTTTAGCTTGCAGTCTCTGCAGGGACCAGTTAGCTCTATTCTAGTATAGTCTTCTAGGACTGGCCTCAGTCTAAACTATTGCCCCCGACATGTTTGCTCTTACACCGGGCTTGCGTTTCAGATATGATTTTCACTACCACATTAACCAAATCCCACAAATATCCTTTGATATTCCTGAAACATTCTGCAATCTGTGAGGTCCATTAAGAAGACTTGTCACCTTCACACACTACACGCAGCCATTTTGATGTAGTCTGAGTTTGTAAGGTACTAGTAACATTACTAATAGACAAAGCTTAGACTCCCTTCTGAGTGCCATCACTGGGCATCATGTGTGGGAGCAAAGCATTCTATATCTAGGGCAAACCAATCCGATATCAGCTGTCGTTCCTCAAGCGCAGCTTAGGAGATAAAAGCCAGCATCTGATTGGTTGATATAGTCAATACAGGCATTTTTATCCATGAGGCCCGCTGTTTTCTGACAATGTTGCCCCACCAATAAAATGGCTGACCCCAGTGTGTGCAGTCCACAGGTCAGCTTTACATTGCACTTCACAAGCTTAAAAAGAAGGGAGGTGCTCTAATCCATTCCAACCAATGAATCACATGCTTGGGTCAAACTGAAGAAAGCTGATTTGGTTGGCAATGGTATTACATTTTTTTTTTAGGTGGGAAACCTGAGTTTTTAGCATGTGATGGTGAGAACTTTTGAGATGTGCCCTAAAAATACAGAATTCTAACCTGGTCTGTAGGTGCCATGATTACCAAATAGACGGTCAGGGTACTATAAAGTGCCTGCTGTCCTCAACTACAGTGACGCCGACAAAGCACCATGTGTTAGGCAAAGATAGATTTGAATTCATAGCTTGTAAATGCATCTCGCATTACTAAGGATATATTTCCGTTCAGCCTTATAGGGATTGAAGAATGTCGTCTTTCCTAAATGTATTTCTTTTGCTGCAATGAAAATGTTTTTTTGTTTTTTTTTTCTTTCCTGTTTTGTCTTCTTTATTTCTCTTTCCAGATCCAATATTAGCACAGCCTGTCGCTGATTCTGTGTGCCCAGTCCCCGTCGCAGACCCTCCTCAGCTGCCGGTCGCCCTTCTCGATACCGAGGTCGAGAGCACAGCTCTGTAAAGGAGGCGGAATCTTCTGCGTTCCCTTAGACAGCCCTGCTGACCCATTTCGGTTGTCATGTCAAGATCCAACAGTGAGAAGCTTTTACCGTCTGTCGTTTTGTTGGAAGATGCCTTTAAAGTTTGAATGACCTGATGTGTCTTGGCTTTGAAGATCGTGCAACCCTGGCCGCAGGGACTGATTGGACAATCCCTTCAATATACTTATTTTATGCCACTAGTAATAAAGTATTTAGCTGTACGGGATAGAAGCTTCTACAGACATTCCACCACCACATTTAAATGTCTATCCTTGCTATAAACCTGTCGGGGGCCAGTTGGGCTTGAACTGCCACTGTAGTAGGAATGGGACTGCGTAGTGCTCGTACCTTCACAATTATCGGTTTTCATAATAAACCTTTAGGCTTCAATATGCATTCAGAGGTTGAGGGCGTGTTAACTGATGCTAAGAGAATTACTAACGTCATAGGCACATAGTTGTTTGGGAACTGCTGGTTTCAGTTACCATCTGTAGGATAGAAACCTGGAAATACACACTCCCTTATTGGGCACATTTGTAAGCAAAGGGGGGAAAATAATTTTAAATTGACGCTGTTCTTTGTTCAAGGCTGCGTTTGCTGGACTTGGAAACAGCCTCTGGGCTTTCTAGAAGAATCTTGCTGCTGAAACCCCCATTAAAACCAAAATTGTTTTTCCTTCCCCTGACCTTTTTATTCATTTTCTTCGTAAATAATAAGATATCGGCAGAGGCCGTGTATAGCTTCTGATAGGCCATTACCACTGTTGAGCAGAGCAACCAGATTGTTCTTTTCAGTCTCAAAATTGTTTTGGAAAGAGATAGGCCAAAGAATGTTTGAGGCTGTGGGCATGTTCCAACATCTGTATACAAAGTTTTAAAGTGTATGTGAACCATAAAAACAAAAACATTTCAGTAGGTTTGCCATCATGCTCTACTGTATGCAGTTTTCTTATGCAAATTGGTTTATTGAAACAAATCAATTTTGTGAATCTGTTGCAAAGTTTCTTACCTGGGGATCCTGCCAGTAACAGCACTTCCTGTTGCAGGTTGACAGCACTAAACCACTGCCTTATAATTGGCAGTAGTGTGGTCAGACTGCCATGAGTGCTGCTTCTTCAGTTGACCATTGGGCAGCCTACCGAGCAAACCTGAAGGTAGGCCAATAGCCAACTGAAGGAGGACTCATGGCATGCTGACAGCTCTACCGCTTCTTGCAAGGCAGCTGCTTAACATTGTCAGCCTGCAACAGGAAGTTGCTACTGGCAGTATCTCCAGGTAAGAAAATTTGCGACAGATTCACAAAAAATGATTTTTGAAAACTGTATACAGTGAGACCTGATGCCAAACATCGAAAAATAAATTTTGGGTTTGCATGCGCTTTAACAGTCTCGGATACATGCTGCTAACTTTGCCACTTTGACAAACTGATATTTTGCATTGTAAGCTGGCATTTGCTATTCAGCTTTACAATAAAAATGTATGTTGGCCACTCCCACTTGTAATATGTTGGTTTTCAGCTGGTCGTCTTGCATATATGAAGTGCATATCTTGGGGCCTGTTACTCCCATGATGGTGTGGTTTGTGGTCTGAGTACTTGGACAAGGATTGGCAGTGCATTTATCAATTTAGAACTTTATACTATTCCATTATTATGCTTTGCAACCTCCATGAGAAGAACAAAGCTTTCCCACTTTTTTTTTATCCTTCTTGTGAGATATTCTTAAAGTGGGTACAGCTGGCTCTGCCTCTAGATAGGCAGAGCCAGCTGTCAGTCAGGGAGCTGGGCGGATCCAGACATAATTGTCGGGATCCGCTTTAGCTGCGGCATCTTAGTATACCGCGAGCAGCTGCTCGCGGTATACTGAGCCTCGTGTGACGTGGGGATGCTAGTTTGTGTCCTCCCGTTACCCTAAGGAGAACTATGGGGAAAAGCCCTAACCCCATAGTTCTCCTTTTAAGTTACCAGCCCTAAAGGATTACTAATAGAATCAGCTCAGGTTAGTCCATGCTTGCCTGCTATAGCCAGGTGCTCGTCCACTCATAAAGCTAGTTGCCATGTACGCCAGTTATATCTATAACATTTACCACCTACCAAAATCATTCATTTTATAGCCATTGGCGCAATGGAAAAATGACCTTGCCTGTAGCAAGCAGGAGGTTTGCCTTAATCTTCAAACTAGGAGCACTCCCTTTTCCATTGGAAAGTAATGTCTTCTGTATGTGACTATAGACCATATTATGTATAATATTAAAGAATATTTTCAGGCAAATCTATAAAAACACCCTTCGTTTCACTTTCAATCTTCCATCAAAAGTTGTTAGAACAGTTTCTCGTTCAGGCTGGCTTCAAAGCAGGCTTGCAGCATGGGATATCTGCTCTGCAATCTGGTGTGTCTGCCTCTGCATGCTATGTAGCTGTTTGAGATGCCAGTGGGGGGGATCACAAGAGTTTGTGTATTACTTTACAGTTATTTGTTACATATATATGTTCCCAATGTGTACTTGGCCAGAGTTGCACTTTAAGGTTTTGTTCACACATTGGAGGATACAGGACTGAATTCTGCTCTTGTGTTAATTCAGCCTCTGTTAGGCTGTGCTTCTACTGCTCTCCTAGGACGAGTACAGCAGGAGGGGGACTGTTCAGGTGAATGGTTACCCATAGCCTGACATAGTACCTGGCGTATGGTGTATTGAGCCCGGGGCTTCGGAAGTGCTTGGTAGTAGTAGTAGATGTCATCAAGCCCGCCCCATTGGTGCTTGTGTGAACATGGCCTGTTTCCCAACAAAGCCTACTCTTTCTTGTTACAATAAAACCAATTTGAATGTAAAAAACTATTATATATTTTCTATCTGCTATCAGAATATCCTGTGTATAAATAAAATATATAGATTTACACCACTGGAATGATTCCATACACAAAATCATTTCTATACAGAGCTATTGTGTCATTAGGTACCCATTATTTCCTTTCTGGGATGGTTGAATGCAGATCTTTATAGGAATGCCAACTCCAGGTTTAACTCCTTCCTGCTGGCTCTTTAAGAGCTCTAAATGCCAAAGGTATTTCATGGGCATACTGATCTTGTGATCAATGTGATTGGCGCCCTACGGGTCCCTATCGTTAATGTGTGACCAGGAGCTGTTGATGACAGCTTGATCATAGTACTGGGGTGCACATAAGCATGCATCCAGCATAAGGCAGCAACATCTATATGTGGCAGATCGAAATAAGGATGCTACATATGTGTCCAACCGGCGGTAAGGGGTTAAACAGTTAACTGCTCCTGTTGACACTGGACTTTGGGCATCAGTTCAACATCTGAGATTATTCAGAATTCATTGATGGGTGTATTTGACCTGCATTTGACCACCTTATGGCCAACATTTGACCTCCCTGTGGTTTTTCGATTTGACCTGCTTCAAGCAGTTTTTGAATTCCCATAGACTTTTCTACAATTGCAGAACCTGTTTATAGTCAACAAATACCCATCATCACTTCGTAAACGCTTTGGTTCTCATTTGACACATTTTGGTAGACAAAGGGCTTTCTACAGACGCATACTAAATTCTTAGTAAATGCTCGATAAACGTTCTACTTTTAAGGCTTAGCGTTAGAGCTAGAAAGATGTTTTCATACAGCTGACATCCTGTATGATATCTGATGGACCGTTCCAGTCCTCCTCCTCTATCCTGCTTATAATGTCTGATCACGGGTGCATTGGGTTAGACCATGATGGAATGTAAATACTTTGTTAAATATGTCAAGCTCTGTACAGGTTTAGATCACTACGTACAAGTTTTGGAATATTCGTATTGTATGTATAAAGTAAAATTGACTTTACTTTTATCAGTTCTATACCACAGATAGTTTAAGAGATCATTACAGCTAACGTAACAACCACCACCCCAACCTCTTATTTTCTTCCTCTTTACCGGGGTCATGTTGGAACGTATCTTATTTGGAGACTTGTATGGGTTGCCCATAGCTTCTAGTACAGTGTGAGTGGACATACTACAACCTTTAGGCATGCTTGGTCTGATTAAAAGTGCCTTTATTAAGAATTGTCCATGGCCTTGTTGTCCACACAGATGATTGGCTGGCCAGAACAGACCAAGACCATTCTTCACTCATACACTCTGATCTCATCATGGGGCCCACACACTGGGCGAGTGCCACTTTTAAGGCACAAAATGAAATATTTCCACAATTATCACCATGACTAATATTAGGAATTGGAGTACGGTTTTTCTTGGCCATAGCAAGCATTGGACAGCTGCAGGTTGGAAATGGAGAGCAAGCATGTGATTAGTTGTTATGGGCAAGAGACGATACCCACTATTATTGAATTTTCCCCCAAATGTCGATATTTTTGGCTTTTGTCAGCGTCAGTCACACTCTTAAGAATGGCTGTTTATTTTTTTTTTCTTTTTGCTTTTTTTGGTCATAGCAGATTTTGTTAAACCAGTTTATAAATATATTATATGCAAATTGTACAGACTCTAGGCCTCACGGTTTCACTTTTTTTTCTTTGGCCAGGCGCAGGTGTGAGGCAGTTTAAGCGCTTTGGATATGGTTGAAAAGACAATGTAATATAAATTATATATTTTTGGCACACTTAAAGGAGGTTTCTGTTAAATATATATTTCCTGTTTCTGAGGAAATAAAATATGGTTGTGAGGTAAACATAATGTGTCTGGTGTCATTGTGTATTTTCACACTGGAGCTCTTTTTTCTTTAAATGCTACGCAATCTTTATTTATATGGTAACGTTTTAATATTCATTCAATCCAGGACTATTTTGAGGTTGAAACCGGCAAGCTTTGCTGTAAATGCAGCCGATGTCAAAATGGATGAAGAGGGACAAACTTGGCCACTATAGGTAGAAGTGTTCAGAGACTGGCCATTGTTGATCTGCAAAGAAAATGGTAAATAAAACAGATAAGCCAAATCGTGGTAAAGTACTTTGAGGATAATTTCATGCTGTGTTAAAAGGGTTGCCACTTGGCCAGTAAAAATGAACCTCGCTGCCAATGTTTTTAATAATAAAGAAATTGGGTTTTTCTTCTGGGGCATAAAATGAACCCCAGAATAGGTGGCAACTGTATGATGTTTTTTGGGGTTTAGAATACCTGTCCCACCACCATAGACAGTCAGGGCATGTCTGTGGTTCCAAATGTTGGGTTTTGAAGCTGGGAATCTCCTGAAGTATGCTTCTGCAGAGTCTGATCAGCCAAAACTTTCACTGCCCCTACTTTGCCATCTCTGCCTCACATAGAGGTACAGCAGAGATTTAGAAGTGTAAGTGGAGACAGTAGCTAATCCGACTCTAGGGACATTATATCATTAGCTTAAAAGAAAGTCACCTAAAGTGACATTAAATTCAGTTTAATCTTAAAAATGCATTTAAGTACCTTCACTATTAACAACAATCTTATTTGTGTATCACTCGGCTGTAGATCCTCAAATCATCTCTAAATTGGTGCTGAGGCTGTCCTTCCTTCTGGAGGGGGGCTACGCCATGTGTATGTTGTAAAGTAGTCACCGCTCCAAGCTCACTCCTGTGATGGACTACAATCTCAAGTTTAGTTTACTCCATTTGTATTGAGATTGTAGTCCACTATGGGGGTGAGCTTGGAGCGGTGACTATTTTACAACACACACATGGGGAACAAAAGTAGTGCCCCTTCAGAAGGAAGGACAGTATCAGCATCAATTCAGAGAGGATTTGAGGATCTACAGCTAAATGATGCAGAAATAAGATACATTTTTAAGTTTGGTGCCACTTTAAGTCAAACGAAAAGACAAAAATCAGTAAAGGAAGGCAACAAACCTTTTATAAAGCGCAATGGTCTCCAACATAGTAGAAATGCCTTCCCAATCCCTAGTGCTAGGATACTCCCTGGATCAACATTCTACAGTGTTATTTCGTATCGGTATTAATAGCCAGTTATATATTTTAAGCATTTAGAAGCAAGTTCAGCCCTTTTTTTTATCAATCTTCAGGGTTGTCAAGAACCGGCTTCTGGAAGTCTGTTCTACATTTTCTTAGCCCTTACTGTAAAGGAACCTTTCCATATGGGTAGGCTTCCAAAGATTGCATCTCTTAGGTACACAAGGTCTACTGATTGGCTCTCTGAGTATGGGATGTAGAAAGAAGAGTTCCAAACAGGTGATCAAGTCCAGATTAAAATGTATTGTTCATAAATGCATTTTCTGAGTTCTGAGGGATCTCCTTCATCAGGCTTTCAATCATCAAAGCAAATCCAAACCAAGCAGCTATGCCGCCTGCCAGAGTTCCTCATGTACACTCCTGTTAATAATATCCATTCCTTTACATCTGTCTCAGGCCAGATTTAATTCCCTTTTACAATTTAAATTCCGATGAAGGGTCCTTAAAAAGCCAACTCATGTAGGGGTTTTTAAACAGATTGTGAAGTGTAAATCTTAATCTGGACCTAATCACCTGTTTCATGCTCTCATCTTCCTACCTCCCAGAATGAATATCCTAACATACTTTTTAAAGTTGGGCTTTATTACCCCATTGAAACAATAGGGTACACCTTACCTGCAACACTGGAGGCATTCATGGGCCTGTCATACATTGCTAGGAATTCTTCTGGTTTCAGAAAACTGTCAAACTTCATGAGAAAATGGATGGCCTCTTCTTGGACAAGCAGTTCAGGTGCCAAACCAAGCAGATCCTCTCCAGGACCTTTACTGCCAGGCTGGAGAAATCAAAAGTAGCTTAAGCAACAGCAGCAGTGCTCTCATCATCAGTTCCTCAGGATCTAACTATTGTAAAACTTTTATTATGGACACTAAAAAGGTGAAAGCTTTGTGGGCACCTGACCATTACTTAAATTTGAGTTTGAAGGACCTCTCATTCCACATCCATGGCCATTAATGTGGAGTTGGACCATCCTTTGGGGCTATAGCAGCCTCCATTCTTATGGGAAGGCTTTTCAGAAGGTTTTGGATCAAGTCTTTAGGAATTGTGCCCATTTAGCCCTAAAAAACATTTGCAAGTTCAGGTTCTGATGTTGGATGAGAAGATCTGGCTCACGAACGGTTTTCCACTTGATCCCAAAGCCAAAAGTGTTCAGTAGGCTTGAGGTCAGAGCTCTGTACAATCGACTCACTCATCCTCATAGTTCTAGCCGACCTGTGACAATGAAACTGTCACAGGTCAGCTCAATAGATCGGGAAGTGAGCGAACACATACCGTCGCTCGCTCACTTCTCGATATATCCCTGCAGAGAGCCGTGACTGTCACTCACGGCTCCCTGCAGGGATTCTCCCCTCCCCACTCCGATCCTCCAGTGCTGACTGGCGAAACGGACGGGGATTAGGAGTCTTCAGCTGGCTCTGCCTCTAGATAGGCAGAGCAAGCTGTCAATCCCGCAGCTGGGTGAATCTCGGCAGTAAAGTCGGGATCCGTCTCGGCTGCGGCGTCTCAGTATACCGCGAGCTGATGCTCGTGGTATACTGAGCTTTGGGTGACGGGAGCACGCTAGTTTGTGTCCTCCCATTACCCTTGGGAGAACTATGGGGAAAAGCCCTAACCCCATAGTTCTCTAAAATAAACTACTCGCGTCTTAGGACCTTCTACAAAGTTAAGGTGTTGCGGTTTGATCTAGAGCCAACTGATGGCATAATTTAAAGTGATGGGCAATCCAACCACCCAGTTTTAAAATGTTGCTTCCCCGCTGCTTTTATCTCTCCTGCATACAGTTTGTAATAAATCTGAAGGCAAATACCTTCTTTTTTTTTTAAGGTGGTTTATGGGGCCACAAAGCTCCAGTGAGTGTGTGTCCATATGTGCATGGTGGGATTGACCTCTTAGGTCCATTGTTTATTTACAAAATACATGCATAGTGTATACTTTACAAACAAATTGCCGTGAAGCGCTATAGTGTTCGGGTTTGGCCTGAAGAAAAGGTGGCAACCCTACCAACAACCCCTTAGAGCTATGGACATCGGTGTGATGATGCCGCAGGATTAAGGATTCAGTTTCGCTGTTGGTCCTTCACAAAGAGAGACACTCACTGGAAGCTTTGCGGTGACATGACCTCTTGGACAAAGGTATTTGCATTGGCATTTATCTGTATGCAGGAAAGACGAGAGCAGTGGGGAGGCAACAAATAAACGTTGGGTGGTTGGATTGCCTTTCCTTCTACTGAAATCTCAGGAAGTCACGGGACTTGGGATCCAGGACAGCTTTTCAATGTTAAAAGGTGGAGCTATTTCTTTTTTAATACTCATGCACATTTGTAAAGGGAAGAGAACTAGCAGCAAATACTTACATGCGGCATCTTGGACAAGAAGGTCCCAAGCTTCATCAGTTTTGTTAGGCACTCTTCCACCACCTCCTCCTCTGATTGTCCTTCCATAGAATCATCAAAATAATGGACTGGCAGCTTTATAATGCGGAAATACCACTGCTGGAAGAGCCTGCTGGAGATACTGTGGGAGACCACGAGAATCCTGGCCTCCCGAAGAAGTGAGCTAAAACATAAGAAGTGGCAGTGTAAGAGTGATGGGAAGTCTTTCCAAAGGGGCAGAAATAAAAACCTAAAAGAGGTTCTAACCCTTCCCTGCTCTATTCAATCTCTATTTTGGCTAGCTTTAACAATCCTAAATGGATTACAGTTCCAGCACTGTGCTGAATGCAAGCATATTTTAAAGCAGGGGTGTCAAACTCTATTTCATCATCGGCCAAAAGAGCATTATGGTTGCCCTCAAAGGGCCACTTGTATCTTTACGACTATATAAATGTATCTACTCTTTATCATATTAAATAATTGCCTCTGCATTTGATTATTATTGGTTTTAGTAATACCTTTATAACTAGTTCTGAGTAGAAGTCTAGGAAAAACAATGTCAGTTAGTGTAATCGTGCAGACTCTCTGGTGGCTTTGCAGGTTCTATGGTGGGTTGCGCGGGCTCTATGGTGGGTTACGCGGACGCTCCGGTGGCTATGCTGGCTCTATGGTGGGTTGCGTGGACGCTCCGGTGGCTGTGCTGGTTCTATGGTGGGTTGCACGGACTCTCAGGTGGCTGTGCTGGTTCTATGGTGGGTTGCACGGACTCTCCGGTGGCTGTGCTGGTTCTATGGTGGGTTGCACGGACTCTCAGGTGGCTGTGCGGGTTTTATGGTGGGTTGTGTGGGCTCTCAGGTGGCTGTGCAGGGGCCAAGCTGGGCTGTACGGTCTTACCAGGGGTCACGGTCGGTCTCGGCGGGTGTGGGCAGTGTGACAGAGGAGGGCAGTTTTTGGCTGGCATTGTAAACAGGCGCCACGATTCACAGGAAGGCTGCTGGGCCCTTGCTGGGGACCTTCCTATGATGCCTGGCACTGTTTACAACGCCAGCTTTAAAAAATTAAAGCTGCAGGAGAGGTGCGAGGGCCACATGAAATGGCCTGGGGGCCCAGATTCAGCCTTGTGTTTGACACGTGTTTAAAGTGAAAATATATATGTGTATTAAAATGTCAAATTTTGTTTCAATTTCCTATGGTATTATAATTGTTATTTATTATTGATATTATACTGGATCAATATTTAGGCTTTCTTTTTCTAGGTAGGGCTTCAAAACTTTCCAAGTGTCAACAATCTAAAGGGAGAAAGGTAGCGGTCTTTAGCATGGTGATCGTCATAAATGTTCTCGATGTGGACCAAATCTTGAATAACTTCATACAAGATTTCACTGGTAGACTACGGAGAAAAAAAAAAGACCTAAGTTATTAGATACAATAGTCAGATCTGTTCTTGGCATCAGCTGTAATTTTTCCAATGCTAGAAGATGGAACGCTGCCACCTGACTGGCTGCTATTGACAATACACAATTCACACAATGTCTCTTCCTCAAAGCAAACCTTGCACTGCACCTAAGTTTTGAGATCAAGGCATACCTGTAGAAGAAGACATTTCCTTCTGCCTACCCCAACAAACGTGACTCTGATCCTAAGGCATCTGCAGGGAAACATGTTTCTAGGTATATTTATCTCCTGGGTCCCTACAGCTTTTATTGGTTCCCCCTGGTGACTTCCATGTCACTAGAGGAGTGAGTAGTTACTATGCCTGTAGTTCAGAAATAGGCAACCTCAGCACTCCAGCTGTGCTGAAACCCATCATGCCCCTGCTTGTGAGTTTCATGGCTGTGGCTGTCTGAGTCTTGCAATGCCTCTTGGGATTTATAGTTCCACATCAGCTGAAGCGATGAGGTTGCTTACTCTTGCTGTAGTTCTTAAGGTTAAAGGGTAATTCCACTTTCCCAGGTGAATTTGGGAAAATGGAATTACCCCCACCTCTTGCCCCCTTCCCACCCAGCCCCCCCTTCCTATACTTACCCTTGGCCGAATGCTGCTTTATCTCCGCCGGGGGCCACTGTACCTTCCATACTCCATACGGGGGCAGCCCTGCCCTCTGTATTTTAAATTCTGCTTGCAAATGGTGAGCACTCATTGGTCAGAGTGATCAGGAGACAGAAATTCAAAATACAGAGCACAGGGCTGTGCTTCCGTGCATGGATAGTACATCGGCATCAGTGGAGGGGAAGGAGCGTTCAACCAAAGGTAAGAATAGCGAGAGGGGGTCAGATTGGAGGGTGTAATTCCATTTTCCCAAATTCACCTGAAAAGGTGGAATTACCCTTTAAATTATTAGGTGCAGAGGTAAAAATGGCATCCTGAACCAAGCCTATCCAAGGCTGAACTATTACCTCAATGATGTGGATGACACAGGTATGATAGATCAGCAGTAAGCCAGATATTGACTCTCCCAGGTTGAATTTCTGCAGTTTATGGAACAGCATCTCGTAGTGATCTCACAACATTCAAGTCACATATATAACCTCTCTATTCTGTATATTGGATGTGGTTCTATGAAACACTGACAAGAGGTATGGGGCACTATGTGTGATATAGAGGGATAAGGCACTGCATGTAATAGAAATCCATGAGGGATGGCATATACCTCAGAGGCATGTGTAGTAGAGAGGATGAGGAACTTCCTGTAATAAAGAGGGATAAGGGACTGCATATAATAGGGAGGATGAGGAACCTCATCAACTAAAGAGGGATAAGGGACTGCATATAATAGGGAGGATGAGGAACCTCCTGTAAGAAAGAGGGATAAGGGACTGCATATAATAGGATGAGGAACTTCCTGTAAGAAAGAGGGATAAGGGACTGCATATAATAGGGAGGATGAGGAACCTCCTGTAATAAAGAGGGATAAGGGACTGCATATAATAGGGAGGATGAGGAACCTCATCAACTAAAGAGGGATAAGGGACTGCATATAATAGGGAGGATGAGGAACCTCCTGTAATAAAGAGGGATAAGGGACTGCATATAATAGGATGAGGAACTTCCTGTAAGAAAGAGGGATAAGGTACTGCATATAATAGGGAGGATGAGGAATTTCATGTCATAAAGAGGGATGAGGCACTGCTTGTAATAGAAATCTATGAGGGACTCCATATAATAGAGAGGGGTGTGTCACTGCATGCAATGCTGCCCTCCTACAGCCTCTCCTACAATACAGTTCCTATGTCTGCAGGTAATCAGTGACTTCCTAAAATGTAAGCACTTTGGATGGATATAATCTGACACTCCGAATGCCTATGTTACAGCACATGACTGGACTGCAGCAGGAAGGCCAAGGGGAGCTGGATCAGCACATCCCATCAGGTGTTGCTGCCCTTTACCCCATACTGTCTGATTACCTGTAATTTCGCTGTAGTCGTTCCTCTCAGGAGAGATCTTCGCTATATAAAACAGTCTGTGAGTGATGGATTTCTGCAAGAATGACAACCGATAACAATTACAGCCCAGTTCACTAAGTGCCAGATTCACACAGGTGAATATACAGCGGATGGTATCACCTATTAAGCTCAATTCACAAATCTTTACCGCAAGAAAAATATCCTTCTCTTTATTTATCATGTGACTGCAATTCTCAAATTTCATTGGACTTAACTGTCACTTCCTTAAACTACGTGTATATATATATATATCTCTTTACAAAACGTCTGTTAATCCTGCCAGAAATCCAGTGCGCTGATGACTTCCTGTGCCCTCTGCTTTTGCTGCTGTGTTGTCAGTTATCATTGTACCCAGGTCTCTGTGTGGACTACAAAATACCTCCCCCTATGTTATGTCCTAACACACCTCCTGTACCAGAGTGACAACACTGCTCCTCTACAGATACATACACTGAGTGAATAGATAAACAGCTATCTACAGCTTTACAGCTATGCAAGCTAAACCTATGGATCCCTGCAACAGTTTTGTCAGATGTACACCGCAATTTAAAGTAAATTAGCTTCTAGTACAAATACACGTTGCTTCTATGGACCATATACATCTCCCTGCTGAGCTTTTGAGAACCTAGGGCACACTGGTTGGTGCCCCGCTCAGCTCCTGGCAACCAGTGATGTCACTGGTTGCCAGGAGCTAAGCAGCGACGCCCTAGGGTTAGATGATGCAGAGGCCTCCTTCCTCCCCCCGACCACCTTAGGTGGTGAAAAGGGTAGGGACGCCCCGGTATATAACATTTTTGTTCCTGAGTTTAGATAAGTGAGCCTGTATACGTCATAAAAGTGTAGAAAATAGACATGTTGTTCAAACCATATGCTGCATCTCCAGAACAACATTCAGCGCCGAGATATGGGGGAGTCCTGGGGTGGATGAGCATCTATTATGGGAAGCCATGCTGGAGGCTGAAGGACTCCGGGTACCCGATGCAACGCTGATCTCCACGGCATCCTGTGAAGGAGGAGCAGCTGTATCCTAGCAACCGAGTCAGACAGGTAAACATCAGGGAAGAGGAAGGGAAGAACTGATAGATTAACTATCACCACCGGAGGATGCTGAGGAATAAGAGACAAGGGGGAATTCATTAAAAATGAGCATTAATCATTCATTAACATCACATGCTGCCATAAGCTGAATGATTATTATTACAAGGAGCAAAAGACAGCTGCATTGGTGTTCCTAAGTGTTATTGTGTCATGCGCTCCTTTCCATGGATGCCACCTGTCCCTGGCGTCCAAGGACATCCTGGAGATTTCAAACCTTTGCCCCCTTGAAATGGTTTTGTTTGCCCAAATTGTCCAATTAGGGGCCCTGTGTGGTCACTCCTAGGGCCAGTGTTGATGGCCGTCTATAGGTGCTCATTGCAGGTACATTTGGCCTGCTTATATTCCCTTAGACTTGTATGAGGAGAGGAGTATTCATAATAAAGCATACATGCTCAGGAATGAACGATGGTACCACTATATTACCCTAAATATATAACTGGAGACTGACAGGTTGTATTACACACAAAAAAAAAACCACAAAACATACAAAGTAAAACAATTACATTGTTTTTACAATGTATCCGCCTGTCCTGGATTTCATAATGGTGAACTAAACTGAGCACATAGTATTATTTGTTTTACTTTTTTTTCACTTAACTTCATTGCTATCACACAGGAGCTAACAATACAGGAGTTCTAGCACTGCATTGTGCTGCAACTCCTTTGACAGCTGAGATGGGAAGGCCGTGTACAGCGTTCCCACCTCATTGCTAACACAGAGAAGACCACAGAACGGAAATTGTCTGGTCTGCTCCCCACTCTCCATTCTGAAATAATTTGCCGTGGTCCTGGGTCCCCCAAAACCATGGTGGGGAGGGAGGCAGCTGGCTGGGAGGGAGGAGGCCGGCATAGGGGGATGGACCATGCGGTGGCGGGGGGTTGGGACGGATCAGCAGGCTAATTATAAGTGATGCAGGCGGCTGTACAGCCCCCGAAATCACTTGACCTGTTTCCACTCTGTACCTTTAGCCCTGCATGCACTCGCCTGCTCTCTGCTCCTCCCTGGCTGCGGCTGCTGCAGCAACATCTGGCGGTGCGGCAGGAGAACGGACAACGCAGCAGAAGGCATGCCGGGATCCACTCAACAGGGGTTTGCGACCCACTTTTGGGTCGAGACCCACAGGTTGAGAACCACTAACATAGATGAACCCAAAAACAACTGCAGAAACTTTAACTCAAATACAAATTTGTTTAGAGGAAAAAGAAAAAATTAAGGGGTCACCGCCATCATTATAAGGATACAACTGTAATGAAGGGGACATTGTGGAAATTTGTCCTGCTACCATGGAGAATATCAGGAAATTGACAGTCTCAAAGATACCCTAAAATTGTGTTTTTTTTAAGGGTTTTTTCTACTATAATCTGGACGTGGCCTCACATCTCGGACATCATTTTTTTATGTTTACAATTTTTGCGTTTTAGACTAGGGTGCCCCAAGATTTTGAATACTTTTAAAGGATGCTGTGCCTGAAAAAATGTTGAGAAACACTGACCTAGGGGATTTGAAGAGTATTACGAAGGTGTAGGGACACCAGGTATCCGTAAAAAGTGATGTAAAGCAACACATATGAGAAAAGGAGGAGAGTAGGTAATAGGTGATAATAGGGCTTTCCATACAAACAGTTGACTTGGGACAGCTACAGAGCTAAAAAGCTAGGCACAGAATGGAGAGGGATCTCAGGCATTGTGGGGTTCACATGTCCAGTGAGGTTTACAATACAATAAATTGACACAACACTGACTAGATTGTGAACAGTAAGCAACACAACATTTCATCAAAGGTTTCTATTCATCTCATGATTCAGAATACACCAATAGATGGTGCCATTTCTCTTTCAAAATGTATATAAGGAATTTTTTAACATATGTTTTCGTTCATTCTTACATTTACCTTGTATGCGTTGTGTTAAATTTATTTCAACGACTCTTCTTCTAAGTCTTCTAATGTATCTATTGATCAGGTCATCTGAATTCTGTTATGAAGAGCAAGTAATCAAATGACTATACTTACAAAATATAATGAATCCATTAGTAATCTTGGCTGTTTTTAACCACAAAGAAATGGCAGTGTAACGTGTGTTGCTATGGTTAACCTGACCTGGGCTAAAATCTTTAGAAGATTACAGCAGTGCAGACACCTTAAAGGAGAACTATGGGGTTAGTGCTTTTCCCCATAGTTCTCCGAAGGGTAACGGGAGGACATATACTAGCGTCCTCCCGCTGCAGCTCGCAGTATACTGAGACGCCGCAGCTAAAACGGATCCCGACAATTATGTCTGGATCCGCTCAGCTGCGTGAGTGACAGCTGGCTCTGCCTATCTAGAGGCAGAGCCAGCTGTACCTGCCCCCTCCCCCGTCCGTTCCGCCAGTCAGCGCTGGAGGATCAGACAGGGGAGGGGGGAATCCAGTCACTCCCATGCCACGTCTCACCTGCAGAGATAGATCGAGAAGTGAACAAACGCCGATATGTGTTCGCTCACTTCCCGATCTACTGAGCCGACCTGTGACAGTTTCATTGTCACAGGTCGGCTCAGATTATGAGCACTCGCCTCATAATTCTCCTTTAAGGGCCAATAACAGATGTTGTAAACCAAGATAATTGGTTACAATACGTTTTGTTGTGGTGGACACGCATGTTTTTTTTTATCTTAGTCTAGACCAGGGGTAGCCAAACTTTGGCCCTCCATGTCTGTGGCTGTCAGTCTTGCAATCCCTAATGGAAGTTTTGTAGTTGCACCACAGCTGGGGGGCTGGAGTTTCCTTACCTCTGGTCTAGAGCTTTTAATACAGTAAGTTTATGTGTACTTCAGAATAAAAGATATCAGGATCAAGGTTCGCTTGAATTTTTTGTTTTTTTATTACACAATCTGAAAAAGGGAACATTGTGTTTGAAAATACATTATACGTGGACTTTGTCATGTTGATCCCAGCGATGTGCTTTGGTTTTATGATGGGTAAAGTCCCTCTGTGCCACCCTAAGGAATCATCACTACTTCGTCTAGTCATGGAGGAAGCCCACTGGAACTCATTCTCCCAGCATTCCCTTGTAGAAGACTCCAGGTTGCACACAGTTTTTCTGCAGAATGGTGTTCAAATTGTCCTTCTACAATATATCGGCACTGATGATGCTTTGGTTTTCCTTGGACAAAGAACAAGTATGCTTGTTTCGTCTAGCCAAAGTAACCCCAAAGGAAGATGGCACCACTCGTACACAGGATGAGGTTGATGTTCAGGAGATGTGTTATTAATGGTGGCTCAGACAACAGAACTTTTGGTGACTCTAGTGGAGGAGCAGGGGCTTGTTCTTCTTGGGCGCCCTTCCGTTCCATCCCACAAAGCCAAAAGATAGCTTTTTTCAGACGGGAAACACATGATTGATCTTCTACAGTGAGAGAGAGAGAGATTGTTAGGAAGACTAGTTTATGAGTTCTGTATGTGTAATGAGGACATGGAACCTCACAGACAGGGTCTTTAAAACATTGGCATCTTGCACCTCATGGCCTGAAGGAATTTACACATTGAAACTTTGAGTATCAGCTATAAATCTCTAATCGCTGGTCTAGACAAGGTGCAAAGTGAGCTTGTGACAATGATCACGCTATATAGTATATAACTATGAATTTGGGTCTTTGCTTGCTGCTTACTGCAAAATACACTATGGACAAAAACTTGTGGACACCCAACCATCACACCTATATGAGCTTGTTGGACATGCAATTCTGATATTGGCTCGCAGTTCTCATTCCAATTCATGACAAAGATTTTTAATAGGGTTGAGGTCAGGGCTCTGTGCAGACCACTCGAGTTTATCCAAATTCATGAAACCATATCTTTATGGATGAGCTGGCTTTGTGCACAGGGCTACAGTCATGCTGGAACACGAAAGGGTCTTCTTCAAACTTTTGCCACAAGATTCAACTGCACAATTATATAATACATACCTTGTATGTTGTAGCATTAACAGACCCTTCAATGGAAACACCTCATTTGGAGGCATATCTACATACTTTTGGCCCTATAGTTATAGTTGTGATAATAAGGGGGGTGCACAAACTTTTGTCGATATAGTGCCCATTTTTTTTACTCTGGTGAGGAGCTTAGCATGTGGCTGGCCATATTTGACCCAATAAGAGTATCACTTATTTTTGATCTCCTACCGGTTGTATTCCCTTGTTGTTGACCCACAAAGATGTTTTGTATGGATCAAAGCAATTACTGGGCAGATTCTGTACATTTCTGGTGTAAAACTAGTCAAATATCTGGTGTATCCTGCATACAGTGAATCATTCACTCATCTCTACTTGTAGGTGTAAAGACTGGAGAACCAGTGAAGGGCTTACAAATGGTCAGCATAAGATAAGTGCACTGTGAGCCTGACATTAATCTGTCTCAGCCTGAACTTGTAACTCAAGCCAAAGATTTTCTTTAGTTTTAGTTAGAGAGGAGAAGGGTTTGTTTTTTATCGCTGTCTGTGTAACTGTTTGGGAGATTTCTCCTAACTTTTTGTCTTAGTGATTCTAGGGCAGGAAGTAAGGAGATATCTACCACATGGATACACAAAGCAATAAAGAGCAGACAGAGGTTACAGGCTCTCCTCACTCTCATGATGAAAGCTTTTTTTTTATTCCTGTTGTGAATATTTCCCTTCACTTCTATCCCTGGGACAATGTTGTGACTAGGGCAGGGAGTGAGGGTACATCTCCCTAATAGTACCATTGACAGAGCATCAAACGTTTCCCTTCCATCAAGAACTTTAAGAACCTGTGGCCAGGCATTCATGTATTTTCATATTCATAACAAGCAGTACGGTAAATTAACTTTACAATAAGCCCTCTCAGACCTCTATAGCTGCAGGTAATGTGGAGCAATTCATCCTAAAAACTTACAGAAGTTATTTTACTTTCTCTAAAGCAGCTCATCCGCCTGTGCTCACCGTCCCAGCAGTGGCTCAGCAGCCTTTAAACCTTCTAATGTAAACATAGAGGAGCACTGAAAGAGGAGAGCAGAGGGAGATAGAGCAGCTCAGAGAGCAGACTTGGAGGACTTTATTGTTTCTCTTGTAAGCTTTGACAATTAATTGCCTCACAGTACCTACAGCTACAGAGGTCAGTGGGGGTTTGTTTTAAAAGTAATTTACTGCTTGTTATGAATGTGTAAATACTTGACTATCCATGGCCTGGCCATAGGTCCACTCTAAATTTCAGCTTAAGATACACACATAGATGGTAGTGGATGATTTAACCTGCCTGCTTTCACCCAACATAAAACAGTTTTCGGTGGACTGACTCTTAAAGTAGCTGCTGCATTTCTAGTAGGGATACAGTATGAATCATTTTGTCATTCTAATTCCCTTTGACGTACCTGCTGAATTGTCAATGATCCCATCAGAGGAGTTCAAATCAGCTTTATCCACATTGTCCTCCACCACACTGTCTCTTTTTTGGGAAGCGGTTTCCATAGATGTCACTTCAGGGACAGTTTCTGCCTCATCCCAGCGTGTGAACCAGGTAAGACGGCTGATCTGAGAGGAAGCAGGAAGGTTTGACAAAATGACTATACAGCTTCATTATTTTAAAATGTCTCTAGTATTTCTGGTCTGCCTACTATAATAATATGCTGTAATAAGTATAACATGGCATCCCATGCCGATGTATATCCTCATTCTTAACAAAGATGAACAGTTCACAGTATGTAACCTAGGGATGATGAAATAGTGCTTTCCTTTGAAATTATTAGCATAGAAACCTGTACAGATACACTTTAATCTGTACACCACCCTATATTCTTTTCTCATCAACCCCAGCAAAACATACAAAAAGGTATCACTGGACATTTACAAAAACCAGATTGGCCATACATTTGTAGACACCTAAACATCACACCTTCCTGGACATCATATTTCAAAACAATGGGCATTAAGTTGTTGCCCCCTTTCCCCTGTGGTTATAGCAGCAGCATCTCTTCTGTGAGGGTTCCAGCAATATTGTGGAGTGGGTCTGTTAGAATGTTTGCCCATTCAGCCAAAACATAATCTGTGATGTCAGGTACTGATGCTGGATGAGAGGACCTGGCATGCATTCAGCATTCAAGTTCCTCCAAAAAGTGTTCAGTTTGGTTGAGGTTGGAAGATCACAATTGTCTAAAATATCTTTGTACGTTGTAGCATTAACAGTACCCATCTCTGGAAACACCGGAACTCATTTGGCGGAGTGTCCATATACCTTTGGCCATAAATGTAGGTGTGATGTTTAGGTGACCACAAAGCTTAGGACTTATAGTGTAGTGGTCATTTTAGAGATATGCATTCTATCTGGGAACATGACTAACAGATGAGACTAACAGAAAATTACATCTGAAAAGACCTTACCATTTTTCTAGTAGGAGGCTCTGTCCATAAGCTGACAACCACCACCACGATGAGGGTCAGCAGAGCTAATATCATGGACAGGTAGAGATAGTGGACGTATTTCACCACTCCTGGCCTAGCATCAGGCTGGTCACACTGTGGTGCCGGGTAGATGAAATCCAGCACCATACGGATGAGGCCAACAACTAAGCCAATGGTCAGCCCCCAGAATGCACCCTGTAGAGAACACAACATTATTATATTTAGATTGTGTCTTTTCTTTCTTTTCTTTACCAAGCTGGATATTTCCCTTTTCTTTCCATTTTTGTAGTATTGGAAAATAAATACATCATTTCACCTAATCTTAATCCAGTTTAATTACTTTTTATATCTGATGATACCTTCTCATTGGTGCGTTTCCAAAAACAGCCGGCAATGAAGACCACGGCCACAGGAGGCTGCAGGTAAGAGCTGATAGACTGGATGTATATGAAGAGTTGGCCACCTTGGCTGGCCTGGACCAGAGGAATCCATAGAATGGACACCCCCACCAGCACAAGCACAAACACTCTGGAAATCAATGACACATGGAGAACAACTTTAGAGACATTCATTGAACACATAAATAGGCCAGTAACTCACAGCAAGGGTGAAGCATCTTGAAGTATATCTAAACCCTATCTGGACATTTTTCTGGAGAAGGATGACCAGATATCATTTTAATGAAAACCAAAGAATTATAAACCTTGAAAATAAACTTTGGATATAAAAATGAAATATGTATGATATTTTATTGATGGGGTTTAGATCTACTTTAAAGCAAACGTGTCATGAGAAAAACATGCAGGCTGTCATTGCTGTTATTCTTCTGAAAATTAAACATTATATGGCCAAATATTCATGGACACCTGACCTGACCAAATATACTGGAGGTCACACCTAAAATTGGTGGAGAAAAAAATGTAATCACCTAGGTGTGTAGGGGCTTCTTTTCAGTCAGGGTGGTTACATTTTGAAACTCTCTGCCACAAGCAGTGGTATCAGCAGAGAATATTGATTCATTCAACAATCAATTAGATACCTTCCTCAGGGATACAGGTACTGGTAAAACTAAGACCACACAGGGACACATGCACGCACGGATTTTAGGAGGGACCCCCATGTAAAAAAAACAAATAAAAAAGTGCGTGGGGTTCCCCCTTCAAGTCATACCAGGCCCATAAGGTTGAACTTGGCCTGTGTCTTTATGCAACCTCAAATAATATGTAACTACTATGTAACCATCATACCTGAATGAGCTTGTTTGCTATCCTCTTCCAAAGCCATGGGTAGTATTATGGAGTTTGCCTCCCCTTCGCACCTATAACAGTCTCCACTCATCTGGGAAGGCTTTCCACAACATTTTGGAGTGTGTATGCGATAATTTGTGCCCATTCGGCCAAAAAAGCATCTGTGAGGTCAGGTTCTAACGTTGGACGACCTGAACAAAACACCTGAACTCAATAATGTGTCCACATGCTTTTGACCATACAGGTAGGTATGAACGTCAGGTGACCACATATGTTTGGCCATACAGTGTGATTGCCTGGCTGTCTCTGAGTTGATCGACAAGGAAAAATGAAGACTTTCTTCCTGCACGCTTGTTCCACAATATGTTCTATGACTCAGAAAGAGCACTGAAGCCAGAAACAGCCAGCTAGCTCGCATTTTCAAAAGGTCAGCAAAGAAAACCTTACTATTATTCTTCTGAACATTTTACTTTAATATCCTATTAGTCAGAAAGATGCAATTACCCTTTCTTTTAAAATGAACAAGTAGCTGTAAAGCAGGATCCTACCTCCCCACAATCATGAGCTCGAACTCGGTAGAGCGCGGACGGATGTGTCGCCACAGATCCATGGTAAAAATGGTGCTTGCGCTATTAAAAATGGAAGTCAGTGAGGACATGAGAGCAGCAATCATAACTGACATCATTAGACCTCTTAACCCTAAAAAGTGAAGGCAGATGGAGAGTCGGACAGTTAGACATCTTCACAGTCACCCAATGGAAGGTCTCCTCGCTTCACTGCTGGTAACATTAAATGACAAATGCATTATGAATCAAAGTAAAGGTTATTGATATGAATGTGCACACTTTTTGTAAATCCATACACCTCTTTGTATGTGCTTTCAGTTCCAGCATCCGTTCTCCTTCCTACAATTGCATTCTGTAAAAAACGACACATTATAAAATCTCTCTGTGGTGCCCACACACGCTCATTCTCATCATTTTGGTAACTGGGTATGCTGGTTGTATGTGGGCACTCTGTTCATCACTTTTTTAATTGTACAGGAGCATATTCGTGCAGTTTTGGCTCCATAGACTTTTCTATGTGAACGCCTGTTTAAACGCATTTTCCAGGCACTCCTATTAAAGTCTATGGGGCCAAAAACGCACATCTCCACCCCAAAAGAAGCTTATGTACTTTTTGTAAACAGGCCCTTCAAGAATAATGGAAGCCTTGTCACACTTCGGGAATCACACAAGAAATGCTCAGGTGTTTAAGGGGCCTTCAATAGGCCTTATACCTTACCATGCAAGGAAAGGTGACAGTGTCTCTGCAAAGAGTCTGACACCCACCTCCCCTGGCCATGAAATCATAAGTGTTGGTAAACTGGAGGAGCAGTGGAACTGTGATTGGACCTAGTGGTTTAAGTACTATGTCCCAGCACTGTCACAGGGGAGAAGGAAGCACTGGGTAGTGTTGACGGATGAAGGGGCAGTGAGGGAGTGTAGGCAAAGGCAAGGTGAGGATAAGTGGCTCAGAGGGGCCCTTTCAAAAGACACTGTCACTTTGCTCTGCATGGGCAAGGTATAAGTGTCGCTTTAGATCAAACTGAGGAGATGAAGGAGGGGGACAACAATTCCATGCAATGTAGGTGCAGCATGCATGATATATATTGTGCAACAATTTTTTTCTAATTCAATTTTTTTTTTAGACCATGAAAATGTTCAATTAATTAAGAGATTCTGTTGCTCAAAATGAAGCAAATGCTTTAATCCTTGCTAGTTTGCACACTTTTAAGCCCTATGGCTCAATGCACTTTTTTAGGTTTGGCACCAAGAGCCAATCTGAATCTAATTGGTGACAGTTGTCATGTTTACGTCACAAACCTTCAGTCATTGTACGTATTCAAGGGACCAAATGTATTTACTAACAAATTTTTGTTACCTGTTGGCAGTAATTCAATAACAAGTTTGGGGTATGCGATATCGGAGCATCCGGAAGGGTTGCCGCAGATTGACCTGCAGATTTCGGGATCTGCACAAGCCACTTCATCTGTCAGTAATTATATGAAGATTTTATTTACATATCCAGCAGAATACACTGCACTGAGTACACTTGTATACACACTAGCAACACTATCTGTAACCCATGGACACAACTACCAGCATGTCCCGTCAGTCATAACTCCCACTTGTCCCAGTGTTGCACCAAACATTTACCTGTGAAGAGAACTCTGCTGATCATCCCGGGCAGAACCATCATAAATAATGGCAACACCTTGAGGTAAGCTGCGAGGAGAGAGCCGCCCTTAGCATGAGAGAGGTTCTTAGCAGACAAAGATCTCTGGACAATCACCTGTGGATAGCAGAGAGGTGGATTATAGGTACACTACTATATATGGCCAAAAAGTTAGGTCACCTGACCATAGTTTTAATCTATTAGCGGGCTCTTTTATGGGCATAGAGGCAGTTTCAGCTTCCCTCTTTGAGAAGACCCAAAACCTGAGCTATATTATGCAAATATCAACTTCACTGTCAGTGTTGTCTCTGCAACATCCTCCCCCATGGCTCCATTTTGACCCAACAATGTCCTGGGCAGCCACACCTACCAATAGAGAAGTGGTGGGACCCTTGCGCCATACTGGCAAGTTGTGATTAACTCAAATATTGTTTATTTACAAAATACATGCATAGTGTATACTTTACAAACAAATTGCCGTGAAGCGCTATAGTGTTCGGGTTTGGCCTGAAGAAAAGGTGGCAACCCTAGACCCAGCATCAATTTCCTAGTTTTGATTTGTATAATAGAGCTCCCTGGGTTTGGGGCTTTAGAAAGAAGCTGAAAGCTACTTGGAGGCACTTGGAGTTGCCTGCTATTGGGTATGGATGAGTGTGGAAGTTCAGCAACTGTAAAACCACTACAAGTACACTTAAACTGATTGCTAAAAAGAAAAGAGATCAGACCAAGCAAGACACATCATGCAGTATAATCAACATATATAAAATATAGTGTATTTCCTTTCTCACTATCTACTTGTCTGGTCTTCGGGGTTGTTGATATCTACCTCTGTTGGACATCTGACTGCAGCAGTTTATACTACAGTACACATAAACCTTTAAAGAGGGCCTGTAGGTTGTTTCCCATCAAAAGGCTAATTTTGTGCTGTGTGCTTGTAGTTCTAAGAGTGCAATCTTAAAAGAAATCTGTTGTGATAGAAAAATAAAGGCTGCCATTGCAGATCTCTTTCTAAGAATGCTGTTTACCTGGCTTCATTAGGACAAGCATGCAGATTAGAAAGTCTGATCTGTACACTTGTTTCAGTCAGTGCCCTGAAAAGTATTGAAGCCACAGGATCAGCATTACAGTCAGGTTGGTCCAGTAGTGCAGTATTGAGGCCCTTCTGCAAGGGTTGTTTCTGGGCCCCCTTACTCTGTTTCATCAACAGCCTAACGTATAAGTTACTGTGACAGGCAACCTTCTCCAATGTGCCCTCTAAGTGCCATTGTATTCATGGTACCTTCTATTGGTTGAAAATGTTCAATGCATGCCCACCTAATAAATTACAGTAGTGTTAGCCAATTAAAATTAAGTAGAGGATAGTATTTATCTATTGCTTCTGTAATGTAACCATTGTTTCTATGTCCCTGGACTGATCCACGGCTTGTCCCACATCCAGACTTATCCATTAAAGAATTTCAAAGACAAATTTTTAATTGTTAAGTGATCTAAAACAACCAATCATTTGTCTCCCTACTATAGTCAGATCTACTATTAGATGTTCCTGATTGGTTGCTGTGGATCACAGCTCTTTGCATGCCATCACTGCCCTTTGCTCATCTTTACTGAACAGGCCCACTTCCCCTTTACTATTGTAGATGAGTGACAGGTACACTTTTCCACCCAGTAATAGATACCCCTAGAAAAGAAAACTCTCAGATTCCTTGTTTCATTTTTCCAAAGAATAAAATAAGAAACCTGAATTATTATGCTGACCTGGCGGAGTTAAGGCCGGGGCAGGGTAGGGGTTAGGTGGGGCAACTGGTGGCGAGTAACTTTTCAGGCCTGGCTAGTAGCTTAGGACTTGAAATTTTGAGCCCTGACTATGGGCAACACCTCCACTTTTGGTATCATTTTAACTTCTATACCCTTCATGAAAAGACATTGTCACGGAAGCCCCTGTGTCCTGAGCAAAAAAAAAGATCGATGTAAATAGGAGTCCAGGTCCACCCTTAACCCTTGTGTGCTGCTGTATGCCATATTGTCACAGTAAGTTCAGAACTGTGTGGTGGGGTATCTGAAAGATGGATGCTGGCTCCTAAGATGGCCTCCTATATCAAGCTCCATAGTCCACACAGTCTCTAGTAATTGGGGAAACGTGGCACCCCCTACACCCAATGGTCACCTCCCAAAAACAGAACCCTATTCTAGGCCAAGGTCCATAGTCGGTGGGGAGGACACTGGCCTTCAATCCCCTCAAGGTGCCCAGGAATATGGAGGCTTCCGTGACAGACATCTTCACTGTTATCTGAATTGTATTTACCTGATCAGTGCACCAGTACCAGATAGATGGGATGGTCATTCCCACCAACACGCCAGGCCATGGAAGGTCAGAGGTCACAGGGTCTCGGAATAAATGGAAAGCATCTTCTCTAGGAATGCCGCAGCTAGTGTTGTCTGTACGATTGGATGGGATGGCAGCAAAATACCTTTCCTCCAAAGCACCAAATCCGCCAATTTCTATGAAACCTACATGCGGAAGAATGAAAAATGAACCAATGGCCTACTCCTTGTAAGAAGCCTGTATTTACATAATTCAAGCAGCAATTATACATTTTTTCACTCTGAAAAATTTGGAGGAGGAACACCATTTATAACAATGTATGCAGGCAAAGGAGGCACCTCTGGACCATAAAGAATTAATACCCCCAAAATTATTGATTACCTTTAGCATTACTTCATGCTGGCTTTTCAGTATAGCAAATGCAATCATGTAAAGGTTCAGCGAAATGTTTAGTGCAGTAAAACACTTTCGATAATAAATATAGAACTTTAAATTGAGGTCAATACATCAGACCAAAAAGAAGGAAACTCAGGAGGAAAGAGGAACAGAGGGGTTAGGTTCCTAAATGAGGGATAGTTGGGCTCTATGAGCAAAGAAGCAATGCTAGGCAGTAAGCCAGAATACAGTCTGCTGGAAACCTGAACTAAGGTTATGAGTCCCTGTATAAAAACTATTGTTTAACTATAGATATACCAGTACTGGACCTGTCATCCCGATGGCTAGCCCCCCCTTTCTTATAGCATCATGACCATGCCATACTAGCAATTCTGCTGCTGGAGGCAACTTTGGCAGCAGCGTTGCTACACCACTGACTGTCAAGATGCAGCATTTTGCTGTGCAGCAATGGTGGAGTAATACCTCACTGATCCGGCCAGCAAGGGGAGTGACGCTGTAGAAGTAGGTATGTGGTATATAACATGGGGAATGGCGAGTACCCAAAATCCTGCAACATGATGCTAAAGCACATTAAGGGGGTGACTTTTTTTAGGCCATCTGGCATTCTCCAGGATCTCGCTGGAAGGATGCTCACCCTCACCTAGGCACCACGGGCAGGGCCGTATAATTTTTTTGCCTGGGGGGGGGGGTTCAGCTTCCTATATTGCCCGCATTGTAACGTGCAGTACCACAATGCCGTGCGTTCCATTGAAGTGCAACTTGGGTCACGACTTAATGACCAAGGACAAATGTGGGTCCTGAGGTTACACAGGTTGAGAACCACTGCTGTAGACCAACTGTTCCCTTGCCTATGTTTTCTGCTCCTGATCCACCTTCAAATCACCTCATTCTCCAGTGCTGCCGTGTTAATGTAGGAGCCACTTCTGGGCTTGCTTCTATTTTGCTGGCAGTGCCCCTTCTACACTTGCGTCTGAAAATCAGAAACTGCTCGGGCGGCCGCAAAGCATGTTGTGGTGGGCGCATGCGCAGTTCGGATTTTTGGCCGGGAGACGAGGAGAGACGCAAGGTAAGTCTATGGACACGTGCACCCACATGCAGACACCGTGGGACAGGAAGTGCCAGCAAGCTCAGAGGAGTCAGCGCTGGACGGAGACCCGCCGCACCGCTGTAGGGACAGATAAAAACATCAGGAAAGAAGATCGGATTAAGAGGCATCATTTAAGGTAAGTGCTTAATTTAACATTGGGGGGAGCGAAACATTTTTTTAACTTTAATGTCACTTTAACTCTATTGTTTCCCCCCTCCCTACCTGATTGCCCGCTCTGTCTCCGTGCAGCCTTCTGATCCTGATCACTGGAAGGACACCCTGTCTCCTGCAGGGCCCGCACTGAGAGATGTACAGATCATTCAGGGCCAGGCAGAAACATATACATCTGAAGGGATGCCGGGGATGTCCTCTTTGATAAAACATCCGCGTCTGCTCCAGCCGTCACCAATGTTTTATCAAACAGGGCATCCCCTACATCCCTTTAGATGGGCCCTTCTCTGCAGCCTTCAGAACGCTGTTAAACTCCGTGCCCGGAGTACGTGCCCCCCTCTGCCCTCCCCTCGCTAGCCACTGCCAGGACACTCTGGGGGGGTTTGAACCCCCCTATCCCCCCCTTATCTACGCCCCTGACCACGGGGGTAAGGTAAGTAGGTTATCTAATGTTTACTTTCCCAACACAGTGTTTTTATAAGGGAAAGGGCGCTCACTGAATAAAGGGACCTTGCTATTCGGTACAGGATCCACTTTAAATACATTGGCACCCGAAAGGAGAGTTATTTTTTTTGTTTAATGTTCTTGTTCCTGTTCCTGTTTTGCATCCATCTGTCTGATAGCATTGTAGTCTGAGGGGAAATGCTGCAGAGAGAGCATGACAACACTGCTGGAATTTTAGCAGCTGACTTGCAGCACTGTCAACCCTCTCCAGGTTATGAGGCAATTTACTGGTAAATAGGGTGAAAGGAGAAAGAGTTAATTTTTAAAGATCTGTTTAATTTTCTTGTTCCTGTTTTATGTCCATCTATCTGATTATCATCTGTCTGATTATCAATATATATATATATATAACTAATGGAAAGTGTTTTCTGCTTGCAAAGCTAATTCGATGATGTTGTTGTTTAAGAATGTCATTTACTGTAGACAAATTACGCCTCTTTTGCAAAGTTGCCAAAATTATAGAGGCTACACAGTACTCAATGCCGATTTATAAAACAGATAGTGTTGAATGGGCCTGCCACCACTAAATGAAGGTGTCAGGGTCATTTAACATCAGGTATGGTACAGAAAACAAAAAAAAAAGCATATTGGTAACACATACTCACTGAAGGCCATAAGAATCAGGGCTCCAATGATCATTATGATCGTCTGCAATGTGTCAGTGTAGATAACTGCTGCCAGACCACCTGAAATACAAACCGGCCATCACTATGATAAGTAAGAGTAGACATACCCGGGTGTATAAATGGCAGACATTAAAAAATCAGTCTATACTGTATGGGAGATAACAGCAGATCAATAACTAGTCTTCCAGTCCCTCTCCATCTTGTATGAAATGTGTGTCCAGCAGGGGGGTGCAGTCTGTATGTACCCCCAACATGGCTGTACCTGGAGCAGATTGCCCCCCCCCCAGCCCTCTAGGTACACTACTGGCTGTGAGAAGCCTAACACCTTTGGGAATGTAGTAATATGTGTGTATTACTTCTGTAGGTGAGAGAGAGCGAGAAGCCTGCAGGAGGCGTGTTTGGGAATTGCTCTCCTGCATCACAGCCAGGGGTTCTCAGATCACTAGAATACTGAAAAAAGGGAGTGGAATGGGCTAGAGCACACTACAGGTAAACCTAGATGAAAGTCTGAAGCCAGAAGTCATCAAAGTCATCAGAAGCTTCTACAGGTACAAGAACAATATGGTCTCTAGACTCCATTCCACAGCACAGGGCACTATCAAGCCACATGGCCCTATTATTTTCAACAGCATGGTGAAGGGTTAGAGCCTCTGTCTGGTTTGTGTTCCCGCTGAGGAGTTTCCCCCCTAACTTCCTCTCCCCATGATAAGAGGGCAGTAGGACAGAAAGCAACGTGAAATGTCTTCAATGGGCAGACAGATATGAAAACATATTTTCTAATACAGAGGAAAAGGGGTAAAACCCAAGTACTGTTTTAATTGCAGTCTGCGCCTTCTTGTCTCTGTGACCCCCGGACCCCCATTTCTTGTCCTGGTGTCACAGGGACCCAAAGTGACCAGAAAATTACAGACTGCGGAAAAACTAACAAAACCCTTTCTAAAGCTAAAAAAAATGTTTCGGCTGGAGTTGGGTTTCAAACTTTGAACTTCACCTCTTCCTCAAATGGTCACAGATGGGGACTCACCAGCTACTGTATAGATTGCAGTGATCACCAATAATCCAATCACAGCTATATAAAGATCCCAGCGTAGTGCCTGCTGGATAAACAGCGCCCCGGCATATATGTCCACCTGTAGGCACGGAGATAAAAGGGTGTTATATCTGTTCCTGATGACACATTAGTGATCACTAGATACACAGAACTTCACTAAGTCCTATGGTACTATCACCTCCATAACATATGAGATGTTCTTATATAGTAAATGTTAATGTCCCTGGTTTAAAGGGTTAGTATACCTTTATAATAAAAGAATCCATGCATTCCAGTGTCCCCAGTACATTAAAAAAACACTGCTCGGGTTTATAAAAGGAGCTTCTTTGCAATGTGCAATGTTCCCCTATGCAAATATACCATCCCAGGGTCTTTCCTTTAGTCCTTATAGGGAGAATAGGTGCACCCCTCACCTGAGATCACTTGGTGCCTCAGCTGTCAGTAGGGGTGTTGCTTATACAAATAGTGACTCTCTGATAGACCTATTCGCATAGGAACATCTACATGCTCTTGGTTGCTCTGGTGAAAGCAGTGGAACTTAGGCAAGGGATCCTAACCTAGCTGATCGCATCATTCCCTGAGGCTTTTGTACACCACCCCAAAGAAACTCTAGATCCCTTCAGATCTACAATCTAATGCCAGATGAAAGAGGCTTTTGGCCAACCATGGGGCAGTCTAACTAGAAGTGCTAGCAGCTCTAGGCCAATGGGATATACCCATTTTGTTGTTGTTTTTAATAAGCTTGTGTAAAATGCACTCAGAATGCTTCTTAAACCTTACAGAGATCTTGGTAAATATGTAGATGAACAAGTACAAGATGGCAAGATAGATCTGGATCCTCTTTCCTCCGAAGCGTTTCTGCAGGTATTCAGGCATGGTGGTGACCTGTACAGAGCAGAAGAATGTCATCATGTATCCTCAAATCATTGGTAGATTCTGAACATGATGTCTTTTGTCTTACCCCGGCAGTTATGTAGATCGGGAGAAAGAACCAGGCCAGGACCAGCACAGAGAACAGGCCCTGCAGGAAATAATAATCATGATATCTCTGCAATCATTGACAGAAGGGTTCTTATCTATAAACAAGAAGACCTCTTCTTTAGTCCCATCCTTGTAGTTACATAAAGGACCCCGCACAGCCACCAGAGAGTCTGCGCAGTCCAACACCATAGACCCCACACAGCCCATCTGAGAGTCTGCACAACCCACCATAGAACCTGCACAGCCACCATAGACCCCGCACAGCCCACCTGAGTGTCTGCACTGCCCACCATAGAACCTACACAGCCACCTGAGAGTCTGCACAGCCCACCATAGACCTTGCATAGCCCACCATAGAACCTCCACAGCCACCTGAGAGCCCGCACAGCCCACCATAGAACCTGCACAGCCCACTTGAGAGTCCGCACAGCCCACCATAGAACCTGCAAAGCCACCTGAGAGTCTGCGCAGCCTAACATAAACCTGCACAGCCAACCTGAGAGTCCGCACAGCCCATCATAGAACTTGCACAGCCACCTGAGAGTCCACACTATTACACTAACTGCCATTATATTTCCTAGACCTCCACTTTCAGAGCTAGTTATTAAGTTGTTACTAAAACCAGTAATAATCGAATGCAGAGACAATTATTTAATATGATAAGATATGAGTTTAATATGATTTAATCGGAGTAGATACATTTATATAGTCTTACAGATACAACCGGCCCTTTTTAGGGAACTATAATGCTGATGCGGCCTGAGATGAAATTGAGTTTGTCACACCTGCCATAGACTGTTACAATTTCAGCCGATTCACAGGAATTTACCAAAATTAGGTGGCCCTGCCAGCTCAACAAACGTTGATTACTCAGTTGACTTTAGCCGAAGGAGCCAGACCTAACATTTTAAGCTGATCAGTGACTGCAACAAATCAGCTACTACCAATCAGCTATTCTGTCAGAATACAATAGTGGCAGTGGGAGGTGTGTTCATCCGCGCTGCACACTATCTAGTAGTGTATATAGCCAGCTTTAGATTTCCCATTATCACACCTACAGCCAACCTGCTGTTTACATAGAATGAAAAGAAAGATAAGGGAGGAATGTGAAAGGAACACATTGCAAACATCATTATGTTGTAATTCTGAATTGTTGGCATCCTTTCCTGGCCAGTTGAGCATTGACAATAGCTGTATTCGCATTGGCTGCCGGCCCTGGTACAGGGAAGGCCATTGAGCTCTCTACTTACATTCCACTCATAGGCAGTCACAGCTATTCCTGAAGCTGCCCCGGATCCTGCCAGGCCAATGAAATGACCACTGCCCACGTTGCTGGCAAATAATGAGGCTCCGACCTGCAGAGAGGTACAACACAGGACCAGATGAAGGGGAATAGACTTGCTAACATGTTAAATTGCCTTGAATTGCCATGGCAGTCTGCATCTCAGTGATGCCATTTACATAAATAAAGTAGACCTAGAATCTATTTAGCCGGTCTGCAATTAACAAGAAAAAATATATATTGTATGCTAGGTCCACTGAAAGGCAATGCATGTTCAGTAATGTGTAAGTGTAACACGTCCAGGTATTTATTACTTCCCACAGAGACTACAATACCCCCCTCCCCCCCCCCACACACACACACAATGCTGTGTCCAGGTATCATGGCAGCAGAAACCTGGACACAAGATGTCAGGCAGACGGGGGCAACCAAAATTAAGATAGGGGCTACTGGCCCCTCACTGAAAATAGTCTCTAATGTGATATTTACATATGAATGGGTGGCACTATTTACATATGAATAAGCCACGACTCATTCTCCCCAAAAAATTTCAGCGCGTCCCTAGAGTGTTTGGGTTTCACTTGAAGAAAAGGTGGCAACCCTACATCGCCCCCAGGCCAAATCACTGGACTGGAGCTCAGGGATGGTTTTTGATAAGCTTTTTTAAGGTGGAGCTTTTTTTGGAAAATTATCCTGTTGTTCATGTTCATTTTACTTTTTTATAGCTACAGAGCTCCCGTGCTTGATAGAGGCCTTGTCCTGCAAGCAAAGGTCCAGGCTGGATCTTTCTCCCCTATTAATATCTTTATTTGTCATAACGTCTGTCAAACGTGTACATTCTTCCAACCCCAAAGTGAGCAACCATTTCGAATTACACCCATGGGAACCTCAGTTCTGCTTGACTCAGGCTTATGGCCATAAGACAGCGATTGTGCCCTTTCTATATGGATTTCTGGCTTGTGGCTTCCCCACTTCATTTGCTGGAGTAAAGCACAGTAACCAGTATAACGAGGTGTACGTCTTTTCCAATCCTCAGCCCTGCCAATCCAAAGTATCTATTACTAAGAGATATTTCAAAAACAAGAAATTACCTTTGCAAGATTCTGATACTTACAGGCCACCATGCCATGTTCTTTCCTGCCAGGAAATAGCCCTTCACTGTGCTCCTTTTTGTGCGCCACATAGACTGAGGGGAAGCAAATAGAAAACAGATGTTCAAAAACAAATATATGTGGCCTGTTTTACCTACCAAACAATTTGTAATTTTCTTTAGTACTCTTACAATACAGCAAAGGCAGGTCCTGGACCTCCCTACAGACTATACTGCATTCCAGCAGTACACCCCATTCCTCGAGGCTCCTCAGCCCAGGATTGGACAGCGAAAGAGTAGCAACACACAGAAGAAGTCATCACTTTCCTCTTCACTCCTGTAAGCGTATTCCCTGTAAGCATTAGAAAGCTGTTTGGCTCCTAGTGCCGCCCATTCCTGTACCATACTGAGCGCCACCGTGCAGGGCATTACAGGAGGCTGAGGTCAAGACACATTAGGGTACTTAATGCCATTGCCATATCCTTGTAAATGTAATGATTATTTGAAGAAGACAAAATGGCATTGAGTGGTGTTTTTACATCTACATAAAATTTGGCGTTAAGTAAGTGTTGAAAAATATGGACACTGAAGCAGATACAGAAACTTGATACCATGATGGCCTGGAATTACATGATGCTGGGCATCCTTCAACCCGGAAGAGGAGCAGTGATTGATCAGTGAGTCTGCAGGGGACAGCACTGTAGATAGGGTGAGCATTTCAACTGAAACTGTTGGGGACTTTTCATTTTGTCTTTTGCCAAAGCTGGAAGTTTTAAAGTCAACCTGTTCTGAGAAGGTACCTAGGCCTATTGCCAAACTCTCCTTTTATGAAAATTCTAGTGGACTGGCCAACAAATGGACCCAAAGACTACCATCATTTCTGAGACTCTGACCTGGAACAAGTATGTAGATCAGGAGTTCAAAAGGCAATGGAAGCACAAAGTTCTTTTAACATGGCCACCCTTGTTCTTTTTTTTAATTTTTGGTAGAGGATTCACCTAGATGAGTTAAGGGATTAAAGGATGGATGCAACTTCAACTTCACACAATTGTTCAAATTAATTTATGAGTGAAAGAAAGCCAGAACTCTTACAGTACCTGTGTGTTTTGGGCCAAAGCAACCACTCCCAACAGTGTACGTTGGGCTCAGTGAATGGCAGGGATTGAAGCCAAGAATTGTATGCATCCGAATCTCCGAATTTCCGAAAATTCGTTCAAAACGAATTTCGGAACGAACCGAATCGCACATGTCTATTGTCCATTTAAAGTGTATCTACCCAAACACATAAATGTCATAAATTGCAGCTTACCAGTCCTTGGATGTGGTGGCTGCATTAGATTTATTTTCTTAATTTCTTTACTCTTTGTTTTCAACTGGTGATTCTGCCACATAACACCCTTCAAGTCCTAGGGCAACAACACTCACTCATTGTACTGTTTAGGACAATAGAATCAGGACAGGACTACTGGGAACCCCTCCATCCTATGGTGACAACACTCACTCACTGCGCTGTATCAGGACAATAGAAACAGGACAGGACTACTGGGAACCCCTCCGTCCTATGGTGACAACACTCACTCATCGTACTATATAGGGACAATAGAAAGAGGACAGGACTACTGGGAACCCCCCTCCATCCTAGGGCAACAACACTCACTCACTGTACTGTATCAGGACAATAGAAACAGGATATGAATACTGGGAACCCCCACGTCCTAACATGACAACACTCACTCACTGTACTGTATCAGTACAACTGGATAGAACTACTGAGGAGGACAACTGAAGCTCACCATGTGAGGACTTCACAGACTTTCCGCATCCTGGGGTAGAATTTAAGGACTACCTACCATATGATGACTTTACACAGTTCTGCTATTCTGGGCTAGCAAAGCACCAGGACCATGTAGAAGCCTCTGGTAAGCAGGACACAGCAAGGAATAATAGGAAAATAATTAAAACATTTTCAGCTTCCCATTTTTGCTTTATTCATAGGGCAGGCTTCCCAGTCCCATTTATAGATGTATGTGGTGCCATATTACAATTTTCTGTCATTGTCACTAGGGCCATTCTGTGCAGAGCAAAAGATAAAACACACTTCTACCATGGGTATATTCTTGTAGTATGGCAGCCGTGAAGTGAGATTGTGTTACAGATGGTACACAAGGTATGAGCTAAGCAGGCATGGCGGGCTCATCACATGCTTTGATCATCTAGATCAGGGGTAGCCAAACCTCAGCCCTCCAGCTATGATCTTGCTATGCCTCATGCGTCTTGCAATTCCTCATGGTATTGGTGGTTTCACCACAGCTGGGGGGCAGAAGTTTGGCTACCCCTGATCTATATTATCAATACAGACTTGGACCCCCCAGATATGATGAAGCAGTCTATATCCTAGGTATTCAGCTTAATGTATTGTCATTTTGAGAGTAGTATCCCTACAGAGTAATAAAATCTACAATCTGGTCGACGGTGGGAACTTGTCTATACAGGGCCCATCATGACAAAGTGCCACAAAGAACGGCCTCTTCCATCCTTACCCATAATCCAACGGCCATGACAAACACAAAGTAAAGGACCAGCACCACGATGTCTACCACCTCTAGAGACGCCCTTGGAGCTGAGTTCTTATTGCTGGTCATATTGGTCTTCCTGCTTTTTCAAGAAGGCGGACTCTGCAAGACAAGTGTGCGGAGACAAGAGGTTCATGATTGCTCTCAGCAGGTATAGAATGATGGTGACATTTAGGATAATATTATCTTGCGGTGAAGCAATACAAGGTGGAAAAAGGTCGTTAGGCGTGACTGTAATTCTATAAATCACGAGCGGATCTCTGTTTACAAATTGAGGCAGAATAATGTGATTGTAGAAAGAAAATGATTTACTGTGTTTTATGACAGAGCCATTCGTCAGAGATATAAAGTTCATTGTATGTGGCCAAATATTCTAAACGTATTTTAAACGTAGTTTGCAATCATATATGGGCATGTGAGCCGCCATATTTACTTGTTACATAATATGCATACTGTGCTTCCTGCTGAGAAGTACAGCTCCTTCCATAATGATTGAGGTTTCCCGCTCCTCCTCCTGTGTCAGTGAAAGTTCATCTGTCATCTCAGATGATTCATTGTACACAACACATTGAATATAATGTCATTTCATTTATGATACATTAATGTCATCTGATCCAATCAGCATGGCACCAATGTGAACATTATCCCAACTAAACTTTATTAACACAAGCAAGGCAACAAATCAGCCATTAACTTCAGGGGCGTAACTACAGAACACAGGGCCCCATAGCAAAAATGTGATGGGGCCCCCTTGACGATCTCTCTCTGAGCTGTGAGTAATGACACAAAGATCCCAAATTTATATTGTGCATATGACATCAGCTTTCCTACGATGTAGACTTTACAGAGGATTAGGGTTGTCATCAACCACGCCAACCCTTAATGATATAGTACTGCATTATCTTCCCATGTTCTATATTTAATTTGTCGCAAACAACCTAATGGGGCCCCTTCCACCCTCAGGCCCCATAGCAGCCGCCTGGGCTGCTAAGGCTATAGTTACACTACTACTTACCGTGACTGCTGTAAACTCATTCAAATAAAGTTCAGTTTCTTTGTAATTCTTTCTGTCTTTTGTCCTTTGACACTTCCTGTCATCCATGTTACTGAATGTCTGTACTTTGATATGGACATGCACGGGAGGAAGAGTCTGCAGGAGCCAGAGCATTGCACCCGTGAACCACCAATTGGGGTTTTAATGATTAACTGGCTCCAATGCAAAAAAATTATAAATGCACCTTTTGTTTATGAGGAAGTGTACATTTATTATATATATTTTTTTCAAAAGGCAGAATTTCCCTCTAAAGAAAAACATTTGACTAGAGTAGCTCTTTAATCCTGAAAGCCGGGAGATAGTTGTGCAGTTCTCTGCCAAGCTGGCATATTTACGGTTATATATTCAGACGATCCCCATCCTAATGATTCAGCAATTTTCCTGCCAGTGTGACGGGAGTGCACAGCTCACCATAGTAGTACACAGTGACAATGTGATGACACCTGATACAGGTTAAACAAAATGCTTCCTATTAGATTGAACCTGAACTCAAAAAGTGAGGATTTTCTATCATATATTGAACATCCAGAAATGTTATTTGTGCCTACGTTGTACCCTGAAAAATCCACCTTTTGTCTGCAATTCCTCCTGAAATATAGCCGTGCACTTCCTGTGCCTTTAGCTTACATAGTTACATAGTTAGCCAGGTTGAAAAAAGACACATCAAGTCCATCAAGTTCAATCTCTAGAGAAAAAAAAATAGAAAAACCTTCATAAACAGAACCTTGTGCCCACAGAACCCACCATTCATCCAGAGGGAGGCAAGAAATACCCTTGAAGTGTCAAAGTTATATATCTAGAGTGTGAGATCTAAGGAAATTGCTGCCTCTGAGTCTCCTGGTGTCACTATTGTGCCGATCACTCTTCTCCTTGCTGGAGGGGAAGCTGTAACTGAGGACCTGCAGTGCAAGAATGCTTCTGCTTCATTCATTCTGTGGATCGGTGCTTCCTCCACCTCTCCTGCTGTTTGTCGAATGTTACCCCACCAGTCATCAGGGGGGCAGCTCTTACATGAGGAAGCAAAGCCCAGTTTCTATTAAGATGGCCACCTCCACACAGACAGAATGCAGAACAAGGCAAAGTAAGTCAGTAAAGGGGAAAAGATCAGTTGCTGGGAGACTACAGACTGGAGACTAGTCTTTGCTTTCTGACTGGGCCCAGTGTCCACAGTACAGGCTTTCTGTAATGGAAGCTTGAGCTGAGAGAGACAGGGGACCACAGAAATTATTACAGCCATGGTACCAGCATTGTAGCCAGGCAGCTAGCGTTTTCGGAAGTACAGATTTACTTGCCCCTCCCATATTGTAAAAGCCTCAATATGACATTTCATTATTCAGGAATACCTCGGGATAGGACAGGAAGATCTTCTGGAAGCTGTTTGTTTACTTGGACAGCTGATAACGCACATAAATGGCATTGATTGCACCTGCCAGTAACATGTTACATGTATTAATGTTATTCTACTCCTTGAGTGTCAGCAGTGCAGGTTTTTCAGACTTCCAGTTGTCAGAGCAGCTTTATTATTTTACCTGTTATGGATCTAGAAAGCATGCACTTTTGGTGGCCACCAGGACTAGTGATCACATAAAAGGACTAGAAAAAATAAGTAACATAAACATGATCAACAAAATCTAGTCACTTTCGGCTTATAAAGGTGACAATCTCATCTCTAAGGCTGCCGATCTGCGTGCACCTCCCCCTCTTCATAGGCATGAACAGGAATGCTCGGCTCAGCCAACTATTCATTTGTGCAGATATCTATAACGAGCCAATTCCTAACTCCATGTTCAATGGTCCTCTGATGTCTAACGTACTAATTTCAACTTCTTTCTAAAAAATACACTTTTAAAGAGGTTCTCCATTATTAGGGGGGTCCCTTCAGTAGCCAATCACATGACCAATGCCCCAGCAATAAGGGGGCCTGAGGTTATTGTTCAGACAGAGCCTCTGACTGACCTACTCAGTCCCTTTAGGCCACTTGAATAGAGACCATTTGGACAATGCCATGACACAGGTCAAATGCCAAGCCAACACAGGGAATGTTCTTGTACAGAAACTATTCGGGCAATGCCATGGTATAGGTCACATGCTAAGCCGACAGAAGCCCCATGAACAGAGACCATTTTGGCAACGCTGTGGCATAGATCACATGCCAAGCCAACAGAGGGAAGGCCCGTAAACAGAGACCATTTGGGCATGCCTAGGCATAGGTCACATGCCGAGCCAACAGAGGAAAGCCCCTTGAACAGAGGCCATTTTGGCAACACTGTGACATAGATCACATGCCAAGCCAGCAGAGGGAAGTCCCGTGAACAGAGACCATTTGGAAAATGCCATGGCATAGGTCAAATGTCGAGCCAACAGAGGGAAGCACCTTGAACAGAAGCCATTTAGGCAACGCTGAGTCAACAGAGGGAAGCCCCTTGAATAGAGACCATTTGTGCAATGCCGTGACACAGGTCACATGCCAAGCAAACAGTGTTTTGCCACTTCATTTAACACGCATATGTAAAAAAGAAGCAGATGTATCACAATATGTTTTTGATTATGTCGGCCGTAAGGTATTGCTCTGACATCTTCTTGCTCTAGAGACACTACAAGTCCCAGCCTACTCTCAAAAACAGAGGACCTACAATTCCTGTACCTGTATCCTAAAAGTTGCACAATAAAAATCAACACATGTGTCTGTGTTCAGATGCCGCTTACCCAACTCCTGAGGGCTGTCTCTTCCCAGTGACAGGTGAGGTGGAGAAAGAGACTGGAAGGAGAATTCCCTCAGCTTAGAGACATCCAGCATCTGGGGTCAAACTCCAAAGTGTCAGCTCCTGGTTAACGTGTAAGAATGGAGGAGTGCAACGTCTGCCCAACTGGCAGCAGCTACTCTGCATTTCTGCAGGTCACTTAACAAGTTGAGGAAGGAGCCTTGAGTCTCGCCTTCTGCTGCCAGCACAACCGACCCAGCCAGGTGACATAGGAAAGAGGGCGTCACTGTCATTATTAGGACAACAATGCATTGGATTGATGTTGTAACTGCTCGTTATATAGGAGAATGATTGGCAGGACCGAGAACAGGAGCCAATATTCATTCATATATAAGGAAATGGAATAGTTATCTGTGTCTGCATTGGCCTCTTTCTTTTTAGTTGCTATGTTCAGAAAATATAATAGTATTTTATGAATGTTTAGGGCTGTAGTGGGATATTAGGCCGTCATGAACAGCGTCTGTGCGTTGTGGGCACGTACTTATGTTCTCTGCAATGGAACGTAGCCATTGCAGACAACATAGGTGGCCTGCCCCCGCCCCCATCTATGCTGGGGCTTATGCAGCCCTTTTACTCCTTCCTTATATCCCTTGGCTACCCTTCGATTAGAAATGGAATGTGAAAGGGGCCCTAATTGTGATCTCAAGATTCTTTAATGCAGGCTAGAAGGTCTACTTTAAATAGACACTAAGCAATGGACTAAACACCAAAAGCAGATTCATATTTGGAGTCTGGATGATTGGCATCTTTGACTTCTCAGACACAGGCCAAGTAGAAGCTGCAATGAATAACCCTACAGAGAGTGACATGCAGGAAATCTCAGGAGGTGCCAAAGATAATATTTTCTATGTAAATGAGTTGAGAGAAGACCAGGGTATTCCCTGTTGTGTCTTCTCTCAGCTGTGTCCCACAGCGGCCAAATACTTAGCCAATAGTTAGCCAAGCTTTTATTAGGAATGGTGCAAATTGTTAAAGCAAAAACAACTTAGCCGCTAGAATGACGTTAGAGTTTCCATCAGTGAATAGATCAGTGATAGAAAATACTTTTACAAGGTTATTCACAAAGTGGTGAAGAGTTTGGAGCAGGCAGGAGAAGTGACCAATCTAGGACCACATAGCTGAACTGGAAAGATTATCCAATTCATCTCACTTTCCAGTCCAGCGATGTTGTCCTAGATTGTTCACTTCTCCTGCCTGCTCCAAACTCTTCACCCTTTTGTGAATAACCCCCTTAATATTGTTTTACATTGTATCAATTGCCCAAACTTGTGTTGTTATACTGCGGTCTTGTTTTTTTTATTTAGGAATAGGTGTGTGTGCTGATATTTAGTTGTATTCTCTCCCTGCCAGAGCAGAAATGTGAGAGGCTGACCTGTCTCCTGAGTTTAGGACTGATCTCTTGACATTGTGGGGCCTATATACTGTATAGTGGAGAGCAGATACCACTGTGTGGACACTACAAAGATACACCACACTGCGGCCTCCATTTTATGACCCATTCATTAAGGGCTTGTTCACACCAGGTCCGGATCATGTCCAGACCAGAACACTTTATTCCCGGACCAAAAAGCATCCCAATGTATCTCTATGGTTTTTTGGGCTCTGATCACACCAGCGCAGTCCGTTCCGAACCAGACAAGAAAATACTGCTTATCTCATTTTCTCTGGTCTGGAATGCACTAGAATGCATGGAAACGCAGAAAAAACACATATAAACATATGCAAACGCACCTGAATGCCCGTTTTAAGCTAAAATAAAAAAACGGCTCCAGATCTGGTCTGTAAAATGGTGTGAACCTGGCCTAAAGGTAGACCCATTCATTAAAGGTTTTAGTAGTTGGGTTTACATATTGTTTTATTATACTCCAATAGAGATGGAAAAAAATCAGAACTTTCAAGCTTTACGTATTGTTAACATTTATGTAAACCTTCAGGAAGAGCCGGAGGTAACAAAGGAGACACATACAACATTTCAAATGTAATAAATACCCATAATTCTCTTTATTTTAGCAGTTAAATTCTGCAGCTTACAAGAAAGCATTGAAGATTTCTGTGTAAAATTACACAATATATTCATATTATTTATATGTAAATTCCTCAGGGGCGGGGTTGTGTGAGAGTACAGGCGTGTTGACAGCCGTGTTGGAAGGGCTTATTATTAGCATGTGTGATTTTGCCGCGTCTAAAGCTAGGCGTGGTTCTAGGTTGCTCATTGAAATGACTGGAGTAAGCTTAAGTGTGTGTGTGTGTTAGAAATGATATGAAAGTTTTCTCAGGAAGTAGAATCCACCAGCAAAAGACAGCTAAGCCCCGCCCCATTTGCCCAAAACCCATCCAACTTTGTTCAACAATGCCTAAACCATATTTCCAAAAAATCTTCCCCTGAGGGGCCCTATTTCGAAAGCTGGCCTACACTAGCTGCTCTGTGGGAGCTGAACTTTTGGTCGGGGAGTTGGTACCCCAAGGGGGCCACACCCTGCACAAATTTAGGAAATTTGAGCAGTGTATGGCCAGCTTAGAAGTGCCCTGACAGAATCCCAACTTACAAAGACTTACAAAAGAGTAAGTGCAGAACATATAGCTAAAACTCCATCAAAAGCCATATAAAAAACTGTTGGCAGGAGAAGACATCTGTAGACGTTTTTATAGATTTTCAAGGGTTGAGTATACAATTGTCAGCTGTATTGGATCTTTATATCGGCTTCCTACCATAGTAGTCTCTGCCACACATGGTTTAATGGGGAAAGTGATCTAGTCTTATAATAGCCCACCCCTGACCCGCTGCTCTGTTTCTCCATTGGAGTCATGCGTCAAATCCTGTGAAAGCTCCAATTAATGGGAAAGTAACAAAATCTCTTTATTTGTCCCTCAGATGTCCAATAATAGACATGGTGGTGGAACTCAATCAAACCCTCTGCATTGCCACTTCACTTCAATCAATTTTCAGGCCAAATTATCTAAAATGTTGGTCAATGGCACGTTTGCAGACTGGCTATTAAAACCCCACCCACTGAGCAGAGGAGCAAGCCTGAGAGAGAAAGTTGTCTCTCAGCTCCGCTCCTCTTCTTATCCTAGTTGGCCTAGTGGTAGCACCGGCCCTGCTCCTCAGATTCCTTGACAGAGGGCACAGCCAAATCCTGGAGCTCCACTGAAACAGCTTCACAGCTTGATCAGGGACACATACACCCCTGGCCTGCTGATTGGACAACTAAGAAACAACAGCATACTGATGAGATCATCATTTTCTTCCCCCTCCTCCTCTCAGCACATGTGCATGCAGCAGAGCCGAATTGGTCCCTAGTGCTGCCCATTCTTCTTCATATGATGAGTGCTGCATAGGGTTTTTACAAGGCTGTTATCAAGACAAATGTAGGTACTTACACAAATTGCATTTAAAAATAAATTACATTTTAAATATTTTAAACATTTGCATAACTGTATTCATTGATGTTTTGTGTAAATCTGCCAGTAATTCGGCTTTAAGAAGAATCTGCAACTACTGGTACAGATTTTGTCACAAAATATCTGTTACTGATCAATTGTGGACACCACGCCATCATTGGCAGCGAGGAATCATTTAAGCCCTCTGGCTGGGTCAAGTACTGCATTGTGTATGCTTGGCTTATGTTGGTGAAAACACGGACGTGTCATCGGTCAATAGGGAGGAAGCTGATATAAGGGCAATTGATCAACTCCTGAGATGATCCAAGACATCCACAGACAACGGGCACTGTGGTCCAATACACAAAGTGGAGAAACAGAATTAAGACAGATTGTAGATAGTTCCTGGCTAGTGAGATGACCTCCTTTTCGCTAAAAAGTTTCCTGTTTCATCAGTAATTCATAAATGAGTTTCCAAAATTCGGCCTTCCTTGAGGAACCAAGGTTGTGGTGGCCCTCTGTGAGGTCAGTTCGTTCCCTTGTCTTGGTCAACTTTCTGTATTCCTCTATGGCTCCTGTTCCTCAATGCAGAATGCACACAAGGTGGTGATGGTAAGACGGCTGAGCTGCCATTGCTGTATCCTCCATTGCACATCATGTGTTACCATACTGGAAGGGGAGGGTTCCCAGGAGTCAGCTGAGTGTCCCCTGTCTAAAGGTCACTGAAGGCTTTCTAGAAAGAAGAAACACATAAAGAAGAGGTGAACTGATCTGTAGGGTATGGCTGCCTCTCAAACATTCCACTATTTAAAGTGTCCAGGATGAAAAAGATGATAGAGGCTCCCTGTGAACAAAGATTGCCAATACCTGTCCAGCAGGTGGCGACTCCGCTCTTTGCTATAGTCACTGTAGCAGGAGCTACGGTAGTCCTTGAAAGGGACTGCCACTCACCGGACAAATAAGTGTTGGTACACTTTTCCCATAGGGTGACTCTGTCTCATTGGCTTTAACCTCTGCTGTGTACATGTGTTGATATGTGTCAAAACACATAGGTGTGAAATGGGTTCTAATTGTGCCATGGGTAAGCAGTTTCAATACCATCTTTACTAGTTCCTAATTTCAACTAATAAAGTGTATCTAAATCAAAAAATAGAAAAGAATGCAGCTTACCGGCCTTAGATGTGGTTTGTGCATTAGATTTCATTTTTCAGGGTTTCTTTCTTTCTTTTTACCGAGTGATCCTGCCAGTAACACACTTCCTGTACTAGGGAGACAATGTCTACTGGCCCTACTGCATCTATGGAAGAGCAGTGTTGTCACTATAGGATAGGACTACAACCCCCCCTTTCTCATTACCATAGAGGGGAGGGTTCTATAGTCCTCAGAGACGGTCGGGAACAATGTGACTGAAAAGAGTGCAGTAGAGGCAGACAGCACAGGAAGTAATAAGCTTATACGATTTCTGGCAGGATCAACAGGTATTGTTTTTCACTTACAGAATAGATATACCAAAACACTTTAAATGGTGTATTCAACAGACCAAAAAAGAGAAGTTCATTGTTAGGGTTTACATACAATTTAAAGTGCACGTCTGACTCAATCTTTCGTTGCTGTTTTGGATAGGGAATTACCCATGTTGATGCAATGTGGTGCCATTTATTAAGAATGGCACCTCAATAAACCTTCTCAGTGGACCTGCGTTGCAATGCACCACAACACATGCTGCTCCCTTTGAATGGTCTGTCTTAACACAATGCATGTACGTTAAGCACACTATAGTGGACTGGGCTGGTGTACATGGGCTCTGAAGCGTGCACGTTATGCACACTATAGTGGACTGGGCTGGTGTAAATAGGCCCTAAAGTATTGAGCAGGTAGATATACAGTAGTATCTGTTTGTATTTCATGACTTAATTTCCCGTTTTAGCTGGACTTTCCCTTTAAACAGACAAGGACATCATAAACAAATAAATGTTCTCCTTAACAGAGGACATTTATCATCACAATACAGATAATATTCCACACAAAGTTCTATTACTGCATTTAATGATGGCACCGATATAGAATCCTGCCTAGGAAGGGGTTAAGGATAACTACGCAATAAACCAAAGTCCAGAAAAACGCAAATGATCATTTCACAGTCAGATTATGTTTGCACCATTATACATTCAGTGTAAATGAGATATAAACAGCTCTGGATGAATCCTTCACACGCTTCCAAGTACAGCTGTTCCACAGAGGAGGTGAGTGTTAATGATAGCGTGCTTCTCCAATTGGAACAACTCTCGCCAACAATGACGCACTGTGCTATTAACTGTGCAGGACGTCTCTTTCATTATGTGCTGCGATCTCTTATTATCGCGTGACGTCACGCAGAAGGTAGGGAAAGAAAATGTACAAATTACTCATTATCTATTCCAGTGTGCGCTTTATGGCCAAAGGTTTATGGACACCTGACAGTCACATCTATATGAACATATATATAGATATATCTATATATATATGGACATCCCATTCCAACACCATGGATATTCCAAACCATGGACATCCAAAACCATGGCAATTATGGAGTTGGCCTTTGTGGCCTTCAACAGCCTCCACAAGATTTTGGAGTGTGGTCTGTGGGAATTAGTGCCCATGCAGCTAAAAGGGCCTTCACCAAACTGTTGCCATGAGGTTGAAAGTGCTCAATAATCTAAAACATATTTGCTGTAGCATTAACAGTACTCTTCACTGGAAACACTTACAGGGTTATTCACAGAAGGGTGAAGAGTTTGGCGAAGGCAGGAGAAGTGAACAATCTAGAACAACATAGCTGAATTTTAAAGTGAGGTGAATTTGAGAATTTTTCCAGGTCAGCTATGTTGTCCTAGATTGTTCACTTCTCCGGCCTTCTCCAAACTCTTCACCCTTTTGTGAATAACCCTGTCAGACTCGATAATTTGGAGGGGTGTCCATATATTTTTGGTCATATAGCATAACAGCTCTTTCTGCAGTAAAGCCAAGACTACATATACAAGGCCTGATATTTGCAGGCAATGCAAGCAGTCTGAGGGGCGATTCACATAACGGTGCTTTTTAAGGGTTAGCTCCCATCCCTGCACTTCTAGGAGTTGTAGATGCTCATTGTTGCACATTGACATATCCCAACTTTCGATCTCCAGCGCTACTCTGGCTGAAATATCTTCAGCATTCAACACTTCCAGACACCGTAGTGCAGGGGTAGCCAAACTCCGGCCCTCCAGCAGTGGTAAAACTACCAATCCCATGAGGCATTGCATTCCCACAGCCACAGGCATGACACCCAGACACAGATGCATCATGGGATTTGTAGTTTCAGCACAGCTGGAGGGCCTTGGTTACCCCTGCCGTAGTGACTAAGAGGTCGGTAGAAGGAACCACATCGCACAAGGGGACAAGAATCCAATCCACCTGGAAATATGTCATAACCAAAAGCCAGTGTAGCGCTTTAAAACAGCGGAGATCTGCAGTGTGGGTGGTGACAGGAGTAACTTTGAACCTTTTTCTTTGCAGCAAAGTCTATAAGCACATGTAATTAGTGCAATGTCCATAGCTCACTATAAAGTGTATGTACTGTATAGCCAGTATTCTTTTTTAAGTTTAGATTAGGTAGGGGAGTAGGGGAGGGGTCAGAACCCCTATGACAATTTTGTTGCTGTTGTATCTGTGATATGTAGACTTTTTTCTTATGGGAAACTTGTTTTTCAATGCTCTGGCCACAGGTTTTACTCCCCCTTAAGGTTATCTGACTTTGAGACGTCTGCTTGAGAAGGTTTAACGGACAGAACTCATTACCTCAAACTTGCTGATGAAGTCAGAAAATATTCCAAAGAAAGCCTCAGTGGTGGAGCCCTTGGGATCTTCTCCAAAGTAGGAGCAGACTTTAAAGAAATCTTCCATCGCCCGGTGCTGCAGGGTGTCCAGGCTCTGCATACAGGGAAAAGTGTTCTCCAGGAATGTCTGAGCGATTGGTAAAGGATAATACTAGGAAGAGCTAATTAGACAAGAGCATGACCACCTAGAAGAAGAACCATGCATGGAACTACAGCAAAGGCAAAAAACATGAACAGGAGATCTGTCACCTTTACCATGATAAAGGTCCATATACACACAAACATGAATGTGGTGGAAGAGGATACACTCATAGTGAGAGAGAACTTGTCCTCGGACGAACTACTCATATGGCTGCAGGCATTTTTGATCTCCTGGATGGTCACGTGTAGATCACTCAGGTCAGCAGTAAGGGACCTCTGGTTCACTGGAGAAGAAACAAAATTGTACAGTGCAAAGGTCACTTGATCAGACATCCAACACAACACTTACTTACACACTAATAGTATGAAGAAAAGATGAGAACACCTTTTATGTAATCAATGGTAATTATCTCAACTCAGCCAAGAGCCATTTATATGTGAATGTTGATCACATCATGTTTTATCATACCTAACGCAGATGAAACCTGGCAATACAACAGTTGCCAACACCAGAGGGAGACGGCCATTATGTGATCTGAACCAATGGTGAGTAACAAGCAAGCGCATCATAAAAGGTCACTCAAGATGTGCAGAAGGAAAACAAGCTGGATAAATTCAATTGGGTTCATTTAGAACCATTTTGTATATTGCAGGGGTTCCTATTGGCATGCTTATGGGAACCTGTGCTTTTCCCGTGCAAGGTTAATCTTAATCTTGGCTCCACCACTCACTTTATATTTGTGTTAAGTTGAGAGGGGTCCCTTTCTCTTTTGCGAAGGTTAACTGCACGTTTTGCCCAGGGGGTGATGAATATGGCAATATAGCCACCTTATTCCTCACTCCCGCAAGCTTTCTGCTCTTCGTGTGGCCAGTTCCCTGAAGCCTCCTTCCTTCGCTGCTCAACCTGTCACAGCTCTCTGATATCCCCTGTAATGCAGGACTAGTAGCTCCACATTTTACAAAAGGATGCCAAGGGACCATCCACATTCCAGAGCACTGGGCAATGCCGACTGTTGACTTAGCGAGCAATTAGGTAAGTATATCACCTTATTCATCATTCCCTAGTCAAAATGGGCAGTTAACCCTTGCCTTGGGGAGGGGGACCCACTGCAAGGGTAAATCTTTTTTTCCCCAGCTTTAAGTGGTACATTTTTGTGGCTGCTCAAACAAACAGTAATCATGATTGCTGAGACACCTCCATTATGTCAGGTCACCCATTAGCAAGCTTTACTCTTGGCATCAGACTGGCAGATTACCTTTGGCAGCAAGAGGCACGGTAGGAAGATCCTTGGCAAAGCTTAGTAGCTCAGGAAAATGCAGTCGGAGGGATTTGGCAAGTATGTGCAAAAAGGTAGACTTCCCATCCACAGTCTTGGTGGTGTTGAGCTGTAATACACATCCAAACAAGCCAAATTAGAGACTCTTACAACACACCCCTCCTTTGGGTAATCACAAACCTATTTTGCTGTTGGGTAAGAGCAGCCCTCAAAAAACTAATGCAAGGGATCTCATAATCTTGACACCCACTTTAAAGGTAACCTGCACTGAAAAAATATGGAGTCTGCCATGGCTGGCCTACTTGACAATGTAGTTTTCCTGACCGGCTCTGACTTTGATGCCTTCTTAATGAATGACCTGGAACAGGCATGCAGTAAGTGGAAGTAGGAACTCATGATGTGTATACTAGTCCTAGGACGGTCATTGATTCAGTTAAGTAATAACAGCCCGGTAACTATCATTACAAAATGGCAGCCTACTATTTGTCTCAATACAGACTCGGGGAGGTGCCACTGCCTATGGGACATCGGTTGGAACTTTTATGAGGGTCCTGGGTTCTAAAAGTTTCCACACAGCTCTTCAGCAGATGATACTCTATCACATTTATTGTCTACTTCTCCCCTTGTACTGTTTTGTATAAGGATATCCATTTTGATTCTGTCTGAGGAGCAGGCACTTCAATATTCTGATTCTGGATCCACCAATTCCTACTTGTGCTCCTGCTTGTGAGTGCCATTTCCGGATACACTACAAACCTATGGCTACGATAACTGTGCATAGTACATACCTCCATCAAGAAGTTGATCTTAAAACCGGTGGTCCTGTTTGTTTTGGGCTGTCCATCATTCAGATAATTCCCCATGGCTAAAACAAACTAGAAAAGAGCTAGGTGTCAGTTATATAAAGCTGCCAGTCTACAGATGTACACAATCGCACCTTATGACATGGGGAAAAACTTGGATTGATCCCCAAAACACACTATATAGGAAAGAAGTTAAATAAAACATATTCTGGTTATTCCATAAATACAATATGGCGCAAAGTAACCATCACCACCAATCAGATTTTTATTGGCTGCTAAAGGCCCTACATTTTGCCGATGACACCGATTAGGATTTGGATCACCACTGATTCTATACTGGGCTAATGTGGAATCAGAACAAGGTAGGGCAAGGCTTAGGAATGTCCCCCCTCCTATCACAAGTAGCTCCTGGTCCCCTCACATATCTATTACACATTGTATGAAAAACACCTCCCACTATGTCAGAAATCTTATGTTTAAAAAACAAAACTTTTGATCGATGAAAAAGGATTCCCAGGTAAGCACTCTTCAGGAATGAAGGGGAGGAGTCACTGATATGACATATTCACGTCCCTGCTTCAGCTATTGAGCTTAGCTGGCATTCACACCTGTGCGTCCGTGAAAGCGTGCCACATTCGCAGGTGTTTGTGTGCAATCATGTGCTGCGTTTGCACGCGGCCCCATTACCTCCCGTGGGGTCCTGAATGCATAACAAACATGGCAAAAAAGCTCATGTAGCAGAATTTGTGACATGTGTTCCGCGTATTCCTGGCTGCATTTGGGATGCTATTAGGAATTAATGGCAACACTAGCGTGTTTCTGTATTTTTGTGCATGTTTGGCGTGTAAAACTGCATGCCGAGGTATTTTTTAGTTAAAAGGGGGTAAAGGTCGGCCTGATGTAAACAATAGGTTTCTTTCAGCACAACTCAAAGCTAAAGCGCTAAATATGAAAAAAGGAGATCAGCTCGCCACCTGCTGGTAGATTAGGAGACTGCATAATAATAACAATAATATGTAAAAGAACAAATATTTTTAAAAAGGTTTCCTGATAGTGATAGAAGAAAAACATTATGTATCATTTCATTTAGATGCGGTGTGGGCTACTTTTCTTCATATTTGAACAATCTGAACCACATAACGGCCAGGCATTTGAAAATTAAAATGACATGACAATGTGAACAAGTCACATTGTTAAGACAGGGAATGAGTTATTGTACAGGAATGGGCTATTGTACAGGTTGCTTAAAGCTTAAACTACGAAAAAAACTGAGCTTTACTGACAAAATATCATCTTTCCTTTGATACTACCGACTGCCACCCACAACAGCAATGAGAGTGTAGATCTTCATATACAGGAGCTGCTGAAAAGGTGAGAGGCCGAGGTGTTGACTCCTATGCAGAATGTGCTGACTTGTGAGATAAGACTCATAAACAGGAATTTTTCCATCTACTCCCCGAACAGTCTCCCAGTTAATTGTTACCTGCCAGGCCCTCTCTCCTATTGTGCTCGCTCAGCAACATTCCCAAGCTTGTTAAGAATTATTTTTGAGGCACTCAGCATCACGTTGCAGCACAATGCCATATCCGGGACATCTCCTAATATATAAGCTAGCACACAATAGGCCATTGTATTAATAAGGCAGGTTACATTATTTCCTAGCGCTTAGAAAGTTATACAGGCTGAGCAAAATATGATATAATTCTGCATGGTTTAAAATGGACCTGGACTCAAAAAAAGGGAAAATCTGCTATGCTTTAGGAAGCATCTAAATGTCTTTACAGAATGACTATGTTTTAGGAATCGAAATGTCATTGCGTCTAGGCATTGCCCTGAAAGGTTTTCCTTTTGTCCTGAATTACTCCTTATAAACAGCAGTTCCCTTCTTGTGCCTAGGTATTCATGTTCTGTAGCCTCATAGCTGTATATCTACCACTCATCCCCAACCCCACAGGAGAGCGCTGTTATCCAGGACTTGAATCCTTAACACACACACACACACATATATAAAACTTCAGTTTAAGAACTTACAATCTTTGATGGTTGTGAGCCATTTTTATTTTTTTCCCCAGTAAATGGCTGTTTCAAAGTCATTTCCTCCCCTCTAACTTTTCTGGGAGTGAACTTTATATTGAATTGCTGGTTCAGCATCTTTTTGTACTCTGGGTAAAATCAATACACTTTTATGGGAGCAGAGCAGTAAACGGCAGTTAATGGATCTTTATGGACTTCCACCGCTGGAACAAAAAGAACTTCCAGGACCATCCGGTAACGGCAAGCAATTATCTTCTACACCGGCTTAACTGCCATATTAAAACTGGATTGAAAAAATAACACCACGCTGGGATTTCTAAAGCTACGGCTGAAAAATAGAAACGTTATAGGAGACCAAAAGACACATCACAAATGGATATTTTTATTGTGGCAGCTTGAATGGATCAGTTTAAAGCTGAAATTTTATGTGCTTATATTATTCCTTCCCTGGTTACTTCCCTCCCTCTTCGTCAACATGGTGATTCATTTTTTTCAATAAAGCTTTACTATTTTCAGTACATACCTTATTATAGTCCCAGTGATGTCATCAAGCTGAGGAAGTAAGACTGGATAATAATAATACTAATAATAATAATACTGGATGTCCTCCAGCAAAAAAATGAGGTGGACTCTATCTGACTTGCCTCAGCTTCTAATGCACATTGTGATAGGCTCGCAGTGTGCAGTGATATCAGAGGAGAGGAGCCGGTACAACTATCCAAGACTGAAGGAGAGGCCGGAGTTCTGCTCTTAATTTGCTTCCGGTCAAAAATAGACAATAGACAAGCTCATTATGCACGGAATGCAGTAAGGGATAGGACCACCCCTGCTCAGACCTTTGCCCAAAATAATCCAAATAGCACTTCCCTGCAAAAGAAAAAGTATTATACTCACCTTTCCGGCAGCCAGTGTCTCCTATACCTTTGTTCAATCATTGCAGCCTTCTGAGCCGTCAGCATTCCCCACTTCCGGGAGTGTCCAATGCCTTGTCCCCCATCGCCTGCCATGGTTCCATCCTCCAACCCTTCATCATTGTGTCCTGTAGTGGCATAGCAGCTGGAGGATGAAACCACAGCACATGGAGGGGGGAGCACTCCCACAAGTTTTGAAGTCTGACGGAAGCTGCAGCAATGGTGGAGGTAGGAGACACTGGCCTGGGAAGAGGTATAATTCCTCTTTCTTTGCAGGGACTTGCTATTGTTTTTTGGGTTTTTTTTGGCAATGACAGTGTCACTTTAAGGGGAATGTATAGTTTTTTTCAATGTTTTTTTTTTTATATACACATAAGAGAGATCAGGTTGATCAAATATAATTTTATCAATGTTTAAAAAACCTTTAAATGTTTCTAAATATATATCTACATTGGGGCTGCCATATTTTCCCATAACTGCATGTTCTGCTTTCTGCTTTGCAGTGCTAAACAATGGTTGTGCTTTATGGAGCCCTCTTACAATGCAAGTCTATGAGTCGGACAATTCAAATCAATGCACTCCCTGTGTGGCTGACATTTTAGAAGATATTAGGGAGACAGGCAAAGGGATAGCACTGAGCCACTGAGAGTACCGTCCTGGAGGGGCTACCCCGACAATAAGACCTAGTACTATTTTGGGGAATTGCTTAAATATAACACCTACTCCGAATATAAGACCTAGTTGTGACCATTCCCAGGGCCGGTGGTGGCATAAGGGGGAACTTGAAGAGCCGCGGGAGAGAATCAGCGGTGCCAACGAAGCCAGCGCTAGAGGAAGTGAGGCGGCACCGAAGGGAGCAGAGCCGCATAAGCCGATGCCTCCTCTATAGTGCCGGCTCCTGTCACAGGCGGAGTGATACCAAATGCCCTCCGCCTGCAAGGAATCAAAAGTGAAAGCGCGCTACGATCATTCTGGCCGGCGATTGGTTACCAAATTGCTCTTGGAAAGGTACGGTCCCCCTGATTGCACTGATCACCATATTTTTGCACATAAATACATGTAGACTGTTGTATATATATAAGTGTGGATTGTTGTACATTAAAAAAAAAATATGAA